TATCATTACTTATCCCAATTTCTGAACCAGAAAAAGAAAACTTAAGGCTTAAGAGACAATGGCAACTTTTTTTCACTACATTTTATATATAAAAACGATCCGTAGGAGAAAACCACTTTTTTGTATGTTTCTTCTTTAATTGTTTACATATGAACACGCATCCCCACTAAAATAGATACCAATACAAAACCTTCAAATTCCATACCGTCATAAAATAAATATGAAGTAAATCAACCCTTTTTTGGTCGTTCCAACTCAGCGCAAGGCTGACCGTTATTACGATGCTTATCATTACTTATCCCAATTTCTGAACCAGAAAAAGAAAACAGACAGGCTTAAGAGACAATGGCAACTTTTTTTCACTACGTTTTATATAAATAAACGATCCGTAGGAGAAAATCAAGTTTTTGTATGTTTCTTCTTTAATTGTTACATATGAACACGCATCCCCCCCTAAAATAGACACCAATACAAAACCTTCAAATTCCATACCGTCATAAAATAACGGCAATATTTAAGTAATTTTGGAATGGTTGGTGAAGATAAATTTACTTAATCATCCCAATATAACATTACTATACTCGCGATATGGTAACACTTTATTTATGGTTGTATACAGAAAAAGACATTTTGTATTTAATTTTTGATAAACGGGACAAACTCGCCATGATAAACCAATGTCGAAAACATAAACGCGTAAAATGGATTCTGACAAGAAAAATTGGCACTTCACAGTGAACCAACTTTTTTAACAACAGGCCTAGCAATTGATTCAATATAATCATTCCACTTCATATCAGTGGAAAACTTGTGACAGAGAAGACGCAGTAAATTACTCTCATGAAGGTTAGCATCGGTCATGATGATAGAAGGCAAATATAGTTCTTATGATGACTAAAAAATAGATGTTTCGTTCTGGAAGCGTTAAAATTTACAAACCATTTCTTACCCCAGTTAACAGCTGATTGAAAGTTATTTTTGTGAGCAGTTGTGCCAGTTTTACTTCATCGGACCTATCGGAGGTACTATTAAGTCAAGAGTAAATAGTTGGGTCTTCGGCATAAATACCGAGTAGGAAACTGACGATGTCGGAAAAGTTAAAGAAGATGAGAAACAATGTAGGTCCAATGATAGAGACCGAGTGGACCGCCACATTAATGCGGAAGTGTCTAGAAGAGTAGCCGTTTAACATAACTTTAATTCCACGATTTATTTAAAAAGATTGGATAAATTCAAATATTCGGCTAAAGACATCATAGCTCTTCAGCTTGTGACAAAACCTGTCAAACACCTTCGATATATCTAAAGCCACAGCCCGAGCCTCGATAGCCTGAATATAAAAAAAACTATGTAACCCTTTTCACTATCTAGAGCGAATTAATAAAGTGTTTAAATGCGACATTTTTGGATAAGTCTTGTTTCTGAGCTTGATTGTGGAAACGTTCTGTCTTGTTCAGGGTAATAAAAAATGGGAATATTCTGGGAAACAAAGGACTGAAAAAAAGTGCACTTTCTCAGAATTATTTTCAATCAATCGAAAAAAAAAATGGAATTTGAAATCTGCTACAATTTTGAAAGGTGACTTGGGAGCCTACCGGTACATATATAAGGGAGGCGGTCGTCTGGTTTCATTACTATTCGACACAACTCTGAACGTATTGTCAGGACAGGTGGAATAGGCAGATAAAAAAAAACTTTGTACGATGAACATTTTAGAACCCCTGCCCAACACATTTTGGCCTGAAAGATTTAAGTTTCGTCTCTTCTGCCCCCAAACCATTGCGACTAGAATCCAATCCTGCCTAAACATTTATTCAATGAACAAACCAATCCGCCTGTCTTCGATGTCTGTTAGAAACTGTAATCACTTTTTTTGAATGTTCGATTTTTGTTATTTTTTTCCTTCAGTACCTTGCATGTTTAATTTAATTTTTTGGTTTAAACTTTCTGTTAATATTTGGTACAGTAGGTGTATATCTATATATATATGTGTGTGTGTGTGTGTGCGTGCGCGCATGCTAACGTCTGCATAAATTACATTTAAAGTTAATTTATTTTTTAATTCTCGAGGTCTACATATTCAATGGGATTTTTTCTCTAGGATGAGTAACTGACGATGAAGTCTATCCACTTTCCAAAAAAAGTGGATGCTGGGACTTATACTAAGTTAAAACTTTAAAACCTTAGATCTTTATAACTGTTTTACACCCACTGTCCATAATGCTTCCCTAGTCCAATACATAATGCTTCTCCTTTGTAAGCTTGAATGTTTTTTCTTCTTTTACTCTTGAATAGCTAATTTGCCGTTTGCGGGTCCCCACACTTGTAACCACCTTCTATACAAATTCAAATGGGGTTAGGGTATGCACATGTATCTCCAAGTAACAATACCTCTTCTCCCAGTGGGCCCCTTAGTCTACAAGTATATGATTGAACTTGTTTCGGTGCCTTTAGATCTCGGACCAGTACGATGTTTTTGACCCAAGGAGGCGTTCTGTTACCTTGACTTCTAGGCAGATATGACACGTCCACTCTTAGCGTCACACGTGTATTTTCTTTCCTGGTTTGATTGTTCCTTCATTAAGGGTGCTGGAGGTAGACGTTTTCTGGATTTTGGTGCCATCCGCCTGATAGTCAGGGATCCCAACCTTTGAGTAACTTCGAAGGAGGCTATCCTATCAGCAGATGTATAATATCGGGATTACTATACTGCTATTTTGTGAATGATTTCTGGACCGTGCAGTAGTCTCCGGTGGGTCCTCTCAATGCTATGATGAAGGTTACTGCTGCAAATATATCTCTGGACGGACGACTATCTCCAGGTTAACTATAAAGCAACTCCTGCGGGTGTGTCTGTCTCTCTGCCTGTCAGTCTTCCACCCAGTAATGCATAAATGAAACCAATCAAAACACAAATGAACAAAACTATCAAACTCAACTTCCAAAAAACAAAGTAGACCCCTCGTATACCATCTCCTACGCCAACGTGAGGGGTCTATGTTCCAATTTTCCATGAATGTAACACCATCTTCTACAATCTAAAACAGACCAACTTTTACTTTCTGAAACCGGTATCAACGCCTCATGCACACTAGGAGAGTTCTCATTCCAGGAATACTCACCTCTTATGGACAAACATGACCACCTAAATCGCCACGGCCACGGACTCAGAGCCTACATCAAGGATGAGTTTTCCTGCATCAGGGATGCATGACACCGAGGAACCTGACTTCCCGTATATGTGCTTCTGCGTGGCACTTATCCATAATATATCCATATTCGTCTTTGCTCTCTAACGTCCTCAGGACAAAGGGACGATAATTTTCGACCGAATACTCTTGCTATGTCCCTCGACTTATCAAAAGCCTTGATCCTGGTACTGACAAAATTCCGACGGTCATCTTTAAGAACATCAACCCGGAATTATGCCCAATGCTAGAAAATTTATTCAACCGCTGCTTTAAGGAGAAATCTTTCCCAAACCTGTGGAAAGTGTCAAGCGTATGCCCGGTTCTCAAGAACGCGGGCGTGCGATCTTCCTCCTGCCAGTACAAACCCATCATTCTACTCAGTATCATCAGTAAGGTCTTTGAGGCCATAATTAATAAAAAAGTCGTCGAGCACCTCGAAAATAACAAACTCTATTTCGGTCTGCCCGATCCACTACTGATGTCTTAACTACCATCACTCACAGAATCAGTGAGGCTTTTGACGACAAACACACCTCGACGACCATAGCACTAGATATCTCAAAGGCCTTCAACACAGTGTGGCACAAAGGCTTCACAAGCTCTCCAGTTATGGAAACATCGGAAGGGTCTTCTCGATCATAAAATCCTTCCTAATAGGTAGGTCTCTGAAGGTAGTTATCAATGGCCAGTCCTCGGGAGCCCTAGAAGTCAATGCAGACGTCCCCCAGCCCCTTTTTATTTACATAAATGATCTACCTAAGAATAGATAATTTGTAAACATTTATGCCGATGATACGACTATATACGGGCACAACCCTGAAACTCTCGATGGCCAGAGATTGGCGACTGAACTCTCTTTCGATCTTGCACAAACTACCCAATGGGATAAAAACTAGCTGATTACATTCAATGCCTCGAAGACCAAGCTATTTACATTCCATCATCACCGATCTGACCCCGATCTACCACAAGTCTTGATGAACGAAGGTCCTCTCAAGGAAGCACCGTGCACCGAAAGACTTTTGGGCCTCAAACTCACACCCAACCTCAAGTAGAATTCGTGCGTATAATCCATTGCTAATGATGTAAATTTATTGTAAATAAACATTTTTTTTTCTATTTTACACTAAGTCCTTTTTTTATTGTACTCCTAAAAAAAATAACTAACTGATTTTTACTTAATTTTCTTTTTTGTATATCAAAAAATCCCTAATAAGATGCGGGTCATGGAGCAATCTTACATTTTAAAAAGTGTACAAATTTAGTTGAATAAAAAAAATCATACAAATTCTGAACTATTCTGCATAATAACCAATTCCAGGGACTTCAGTTATTTAAAAAAAAAAGAGAGAGAATTTTTGTGACTTTCCTAAGAAAGGTACTTTATTTGCCGTCCGATAAATATGATGCTTTGTTAGCCTAGTATTTTTTTATAAGAAGCGTTAAAGCGTAGACATCAAGACAAAAAAGTCTTGATTTCTTCTTGGTAATTTACTAAAAATCTTAGTAAATTACCAAGAAGAAATCAGGCATTTCGTGTTTAGTAACTAAAATGTCCATTGTCCACCAACACGAGATCGCATTAAACAATTTTTGATGTGTCATAAAAAATAAAATACAAATTATTTTATTAAAATTCTGCGTCTGAGACGTAATTTTTTAATTTTATAAAAGAAAATTTACTATAATTTTTTATGGATGTAAGTATTGCCCGGGTTTCACCAGTTTGATGATGACAGGATCTAAACACGTCGAACTCAGCGGAAGTGAAAGCGACAAGACAAGGGAGCTAATTTAACAAATTCAAAGATGGACGAACACGTGGTTACTGGTGGTACACTGTTCGTACGAAATTTGCCTTTTTGTATAACAGACGACAAGTTGGCTGAAATATTTAGCGAAACAGGCCCTGTTAAACGTGCTTTTGTTGTAAAGGAAAAAGGTAAAGATAATAGGCACTTTTCTTTTTCTAATCTTGAAATATATCTCAGCCCGTGGGCTGTTTTCTCTTCATTTTACATGCGTTTTATTTTTAATTCTTGAACAATCGGATCTTCTGCACTTCACTTATTCATATTAAATAAATCAGTTATTATATTTTAAACGCGAAATATAAAGACTTAGAGAGATGCGAAGGTTTTATGAACATTATCTGCTATTATCAAGATCGTCTTATAAGCAATTTTAACGATTTCAAATCTATCAACAAAAGTACGTTGGAATACGAATAAATTATGTTTATAATAAAATGTTAGAAGTTATGTGTTGATTACTGATCCCATTATTACGAATTGTATTTTATTAAATGAAAAACACTACGACTTAACGATCTCCCGAAGAAAAGGGACTGTTACACATTTTTTTTTTAAGTATTCTCCCGTAAAATCTTCGGTTGCCAGATGTACAAATAGAAATACAAGAATATCCAAATTTAAATTCAAATGATTGATAATTTGCATAGACATATGAAAAGTAATATAACTGCGTGAATGAAGCTTCCAAAAACTATTATTAGAAATAGTTTGAATTTGTTGAACGGTGTACTTAACTGTCGTATTTTTATTTACATATTTTTTCTAAATCTGGAGATACTACGCAACGAAAACAATCAAATATTTCCTGTAACGTTTCTGACTAACGTGTTTTGATTCAATTTTGGACTATATTTTTTCCACACATTTTCTGTATTTTAATTATTTTTTTTTTATCCTATCAATTGGTAACTCACAAAATATTCTGGAAAAAACAACAAAGATGATGATACTCGGAAAATTAATTCCGATCACCATACACTTGCTGACTGCGTTTGAAAGTGAAGCCTAGCAGCAGGAGTATGAGTTTTTTTTAGTAGTATCAGATCATTTGAATTCTCTGAATTTTATAGTTTGAATGTCATCAATTCTCCCTTTAAGGGTCAAATATGGGTCTACTACTATAAATTATAAACCTAGATTAAATTCACAATTCAGAATTGGCTGGAGGAGGAGGTCAACTTTTATCCTGAGAGCCACAGTAACAATTCATCTTGAACTTTCAGGAAAAAATGGTTTTCCCAATGATTAAAATTTATATTTCTTGGAGTACATCATCTTTGTTGGTTTCAAAGCAAGATTTCAGTGAAAAAGATAAATATTCTAATAAAATAGATCAATAACTCAGAAAAATAATTCTTTTCAGAACTCAAGGCAAGTTAGAATATGAATATTTTAGACATTGTGTTCCAGAGAAAGATTGCACATTCTCTGAGATAAAAGTTAGCAATCATTATTTGAAAAGAAAGTGAGAAAAGCTTCCAATTCCAAATCACCACTTGGATGTGAGATAAATTCCTCATATTTATCAATCTGTTATTTTCATCTTTACTGTTTATATCCCAAAATTTCAGCTAATACATTCATTAACTTTCTTTGCGAATATGTTGATTGAATACACCCTAAACCTCAATGAATGATAAAGAATAACATATATTGACAAACAGAAACATATTTGGAATAATGAAAATACTTTATTTCCAAAATTCAAAACAGTAGGAAACTTGAAGAATGTAATGATGAAAACAATAAGGATGAAGAATGAAAAAGAAAAAAAAAACCTGGAATAATGAAAATACATAGAACAATTGAAATTATTCATCAGTTGAGTTACCCATACACACACACACACACACACACACACACAAGTGTACTGACCTAGCACATTATAAAATCAGATGTTTTTTTTTTTTAATCTCTTCTTGGTTGAACTTTCTATAAACTGATTATCAACAAAAGATTATTTTGTATCTATTTTTTATTATTTTCAGGAAATGCAAAGAAAAGCCGAGGTTTTGGTTATGTCACATATTCTTTTGAGTAAGTAAAATTTCTTTTAAGTTAAAAAAATTATATTTTACAGCAAAAACCAAAAAATTACCTCAACATAGAAGATAGTCTATTTCAAGCCGTTCTGTATACGGCTATGATCAGCCGACCTTGCTCTGTTATAATAAATACATCGAACTCTCTGTGGCTCAGTTTTAATAATTAATATTACTATGTTCCACCCGGATTATATACCAATGGATCGATTACCTGTAATATATATATATATATATATATATATATAAAACTAGTCACTTAGCTGATGTACCTTGACTCCAGGGTTTTGTAGATGACATTTTTTGTAATCATTCAACCAATTTCACCAATTGACTGTGAATTTTCACACACACACAAATAAGTTTTATTATTTTTATTCAATTCAAGTGACAAGGACTGTGTTTATTTTTTTTATTGTATTTCTCAAGCCTCAAATAAGATGTTGTACATTTTGATCCATATTGTGGATAAACTGTCCAAAGTTTATGTTTTAAGTACTTTAAACCATATCAGTCATTATCAAAAACTGGACATTGTCAATGTAGTAGACAAAATTTTGATGGCTACCTCTTGGCATTTTTTTGAATAATGGGATTCAGTCCAAATTGACATCATGTGTAAAACACTGAAAAAAATTCATCATATTAGCTTATAATCTTATATGCATATTAACTATTTTATAGGCACTTTAAGATAATACTTGTAAATATTTTATACATGCTTTTGCAATACTTCTAGCACCATGAAACAATTGTACACATGGTGTCACTTTAGATTAATTTGAATCCAGCATTCCTAAAAATACCAGTACCCAAGATGTTGCCAACAAAATCTTGTCTACCATACTGACAACACCATGTTCTTTGATAATGACTGAGACAGTTAAAAGTACTTGAACATTGCCTGAACTTCAGCTAGTTTATTCACAATTTAGATACCGATGTACAACACCTGATTAGAAAAAAAGAAAAGCACAATAGTAAAAGGGGATAAAGGTTCAGTTACTATCTGTGGGGAGAAGCACATTTTCTTTAATAGGACTTTTCAATATCTGGGCCGATAGACATTAGTTTCACCCTTTACAAAAAAAAACATACCTACTCAAATATGTGTACCCACTAACTATAAAATATAAATAAAATATATATATATAATCAAATCCATAAATGGAAAGAATAATCCAGGTAGGACTTTTTAATATAAAATATTAAAAAGATGAATGCATAAAGAGAGCACAATGTACAGTATACAGAGCAATATAATATACATCAAGAAAAAACTTTTCCTTTGATGTATATCATATTGTTATCTATATTATACATTGAGCTCTCTTTATGGGGGTCCATCTTTTTTTACATTTTATATTAAAAAGACCTACTAAAAACCATGTTTTTTGATGATGCATTAAGTTTTTCCTTGATGTCTGCATATATATTATTGCTTTAAATGCTATATTTTGTAGATGTGTTTGTCTAGACATCCCTTTTCTTTCTTTTTTTTTTTTTTTAAATAGTGTAAATTTTGCATTTACCAACCTGTGCATTCAAGGGTGTTAATAAAGTAAATGTGCCTCTTCCACTGGGAATCTGTATTTCATCATTAAGTATAGCACACTTTAGACTGCTCAGCCATGGAAAGCTTACAAGCAAGGATCATACGTTCAAAGCTAGTATTTAATACAAATAGTCTTTTGTTTGACTTATTTTTCTTATGGTGTAACCCTAAGTTTGTTCCAAATGAACTTGTGTTACACAAGTTTTTTTTTATATTTTTGTCATTAAATATTCCTCTAAGTATAAAGGAAAAATTTTTCTGAATATTGATTCAAAATATTTGGTCATGTATACAGAATAGTGATAGAAACTTTTGCCTGATATATCTATAAATAAACATAATATAAACATTATGACATTTTCAGAGAGGATGCTGAAAAAGCAAAAGAGACAATCGACACAATTGATGGAAGAAAAGTGTTTGTGACATTTGCTGAGAAAAAGAAAAAAACAACAGAAAATGAAACAACAGAAACAAAAAATAAACAAGTTAAAAATTCTGAAGGTAAGTTTCTTTTTTTATTTATATCTGTATCATGCCACAGTAGTTTTTCTCTCTTTTTTTTCTTTTTTTTTAAAATAAAATTTTTTATAAATTCAGCAAGGTATAAAAGTATATAATTTATATAAAATAAAAAAAAATTAAGGATTTTATCTTTGTCATGACATTTTCATTTAGTATCATTCATAGTTTTATGAAAAATTTAATCACTTGAAATTTAAAAAAAACATTAAAGAAACTCAGTACAGTGTTAGTGATAGCACAAAAATCTTTCTTATTGGGTGTGTGCAAAAGTTTCTAGGTCACTTTATTTTTTTAATTAAAAACATGATTTTCAAAAAAGAAGCTAGAAAATTTTGCACACACCTAATAGTAAAACATCTTACAATTGATTAAAACAAGTTTATGCCTAGAATCATAGCATCCACTTATTTAAGCAATTAGTAAGTTTGACTTTGTTCAGCACAAGGCCAAATGAGAATTAGATTATTATGCACTAATCTTCCTTGATTGTACAACTGAAGAAGACTGTAGAATTGATCAGCAGAAATACTGCAATAATTAATAAAGTATCATAAATCAGTCCATGAGTCAAAACAACAATTGGAATAATAATGAATCCTCACAAAATTACAGCAGGTGTTATAATTTTGGTTTTGAAATTAGTTTCCTTTTTGCATTAAAAAAAAGTACTTGCATGTTATTCTGCACTTTTTACTGCTCTCTGGCTAAATGCTCCTTTACACTATATATTTAAAAATCTTGCCACATATATGCATTATTCATGGATATGTCTTTCTTTCTTTAGCACCAGCCAAAAGTTCATATCAACAGACTGCCAAATATGAAAAAAACAAAACTTTAGTTGTGTCAGGCTTTCCAGAGAGCACGCCTCTTGAAAAGGTGAAGGAAAATGTTGAGTAAGTTGAGCAGCCTTGATTTTTCACTCCATTATAATTTTATTCACTGGACCTGAGAATTGAAATTCAACTTTCACATTTGATAATTGATAAAACAATTTATTCTTAAAAAGTAATGTTTGATTGCGTCAATACTTTTTATAAGTTCCAATAGATCGTCAAAAACTATTGTGCTGTGTACAAAAATTATAAAATGCCAGACAAATGTATTTTGATGAATTAATATTAAAAACATGATTACTTTTTTAATAAATTAAAACTGAAAATATATAAAAATTGGTGTGCAACAGATGATCTAAAGACTGCAATTTGATTCGTTAAAATTTGAATAACCAGGATGAAGGATGTATGTCACATGACCACACTTATTCACAAATCTATATTTTTAGCTGTTTTTATTATTCAGGTTTTTTTATCACTTCTGGAAAAAAATTTGATTTTGGTAAAGTTTCCCATGGAAAGGGTCTTGACTCTTGCAACAACAATATTATAAATTATACAGTAATTGTTGATTATCCTCACTACTACTCTGACATTACCTCCTACTACTACTTATTTGAGTACCAAGTGAAGTGTATAAATAGAGAAGTACATTCAAATAGTGGACAAGTCTTAAGATTTAAGTCTTTTTTTTTTTTTTTTTTCCCAAAGTCACATTTTGTGTAGAACCTTGTTCTGGAAACAAAGGTCAAAGCACAGTATGAACAGGAGGGGGAAAGGTCAATGCAAGTTGTCTGTGAATGACATAGTATGACTTGGAATTAAGATTCAGGCAATGAGAAAAAATTGGGGGGTGGGGGTTCTTATTATTATATACATCAATCATCCAGCCAATTATATATGGCTAGCTGCTCATATCCCTGAATGCTTGTCTGCTTGGGTAGATAGTTGATCCCTGTTGCAGATGCCTGCTCAGCCACATTTGTGCTTGTTCATCACCCAAAAAGCAAACCTGTGGTTTATACTGCAACTATGTTAAACAAACTTTAGTAACAGTTTCTGGGAGAGAGCACATGATCAACTGAACTGTAGAGATAATTGGGTTATCTCCACTTGACCAATTGCATGGTTGGAAAACATAAAGATTGAGAATGGTGGCACTAATAGATAATTAAGTTTTTTTCAAGCATTTCACCCCAAGCAAGGCGGGAAGCCACTAGGAAGCAAGGGGTTACAGAAGATTTGGAGCAAGATCAGATAGGGGTGATAGAGGAAAGGATGAGGAGAAAGATAGTGGATAGATCAAGGCAACTGGAGATGTCGATTGACATTACATTTGAATAGTTGTCATTTATAGCTCTCAGGAAACTGGAATAGGAAGGGAGTTCCACTGGCGAGAGGTGTGAGATATGAAGCTATTCTCTAGAGAAGAGACAGCTACATTTCGACAATGAAAGGTGAGAATAATGAATGTAGCTCCTCCGGCAATCCACTACCATGAAAGTATTTGTAAAAAAAAGACAGAGATTTGACAGCGTGTGATCGCATGAAAGCAACTGCAGACGAGATGCCAGAACAGGGCCAATTATGTTGCATATATGTTTGGATCTTATCAGAACCCCAAAGGCAAACAGAAGGGGCTCCAGACCATATATGGCAGCAATACTCTATGCAAAGGGTGAATTGTTGATTTGTAGATCTGAAGGATGGATTCTGGGAGAAAAATTTCCTGTGCGGCACAGGGGAGGTATAATTAATAAAATGGGCCAAGCAATTGACTCAGTGTATTTGTTAATTGACTCAATGTAATAAGGATCCACCTTCAGGTAAGCTGGTGGCAGGAGCTGGCTATGTAAGCTCAGTGTTTAGAAGACCTTTGGGCTGACAACCTGAATAGAGGAATCTATTAGTTATGTGCCATGCATGATACACGCTTAGGTGATCATATATCTTTCCATACATGACTGACGAGGCAGATTTTTTTCCCACAGTAGGTTGCCATTTCTTTCTGCAGTAGACCAGTTATCATCCAAGGCTATAGAACCCAGTCTGTCCTGCTATTTACCCATAGCTGGAGGGAGAAGAGGATTCATACTTTTCCCAAGGGTATTAGCAATGGATTCAACTTGAATTTGCGGTTGGCTCTCCAATTCTTCAATCCAAGCCGCTATCCGTAACTCTACCAAAACCCTCAGTTACCATGACTTGTCACTTTGTGGTAGCACAACCATCTATAGCTTCCAATCAGTTCCATCTACCCAATTTCACTCACAGGGCTTGAGTCAACCCAATTGCACCAATATAATATCAGCAAACATAGGTATAATAAAAGATACAGAATTTTGCTGCCTCTTCTGGTATTTTTAAAATTGTTTTCATATTTTTAAATATTTTTTTCTGCAATATTCTTAAAATATTTATCAAAAGATTTGAAAAAAAATTGTAAATTTCAAAGTGACAAGTAAAAAGAAACAAACTTTCTCAATCTCTCTGTCTATCTAACCATGTTTTAAATATTGTTTTAGTTTCTGTGACCTGTATAAATGTTTTGTCTTGAAGGTCCTTGAAGAACATTGCTTCTCTTACTTACCCTGTTGAAAAGAATGGAAAGAACTTTGCTTTGGTTAGCTTCAGATCAATACGAGATGCTAGACGTGCATTGAACAGATTAAATGGCAAGGAAGTGGCAGGTAACTCTTATTTAAATTTTATGTTACATATTTAAATCTTTCGTATAGAGCCAAAGTATATTTAATTCCTTGATAGGTAAAAAGAAAGGAATTCTACTTGTAATAAAAAAAAAAAAATGATTTTGGATTCAGTAAAGATTCAGTTGCCTTCACAAACAATCCAATTATACCGAATAGCTGAGAACCAAAGCAGCATTTCAAAGTAATTCTTGCAGAAGACTTAAATAATAGTTCATGGATTTACCCAACATATTTATTGGATCATACCTTGTTTGAATATCATCAAATTGATGAACACTCCAACCTCATTTAATTTAAATATTTCAAAGTTTTTACATATAAATTTATTCATCCCACTTTTTATTGCTGCAGTAAATAAAAACATAACAATGAACTATATTTTTATGAGGACTTTGTAATATTATAAAAACAAATAAATTTTGCATTTTTACATTTGCAATGAATATTAAATGTTTCAGTTATTAATAACAATAAAAATATATTCCTTACATGCCAATCACAATTCTATATCAAATAATAAAATTCTTACATTGTGATTCATAGTAGTTTTTACAGAATAATAAGATAAAGACCAATTACTAAATATTAAATTAAAACAAAATTAAATAACTTACATGTTTTATATTTTCAGTAAATATTATCAATATATTTTAGCTATGAATAATAATAAAAAAACATTCTCTACAATTATATATCAAATAAAAAACTGCTTACATTTAGATTTTGTCTGTTCCTTCCAAATTAAAGCTTCTATGCAGTGATACAATCAATTTATATTTTATATATATATATATATATATATATATATATATATATATACTACACACACACACACACAGAGGATGTCTGTCTGTGATACCTTTTCACTCAAGATACATCCAACCGATTTTGAGCAAACTCAGCAAATACATTGTACAATGTAAGAGATAGGTTCTTAGCATAAAAAAAAATCAATCATTGATAAATTCAATTTTTTTCCTCCGATTTCATTCAAACTCAGTTTGTAGATTACTTATATCATGGTGAGCTCAACCATACCTCATTTTTATTTCTATGCCATTGCATTTAGTGAGAAACTGCAAAAACAAAATATCAATTTCAACACAAATTTTAAAGTAAAAACTCCCTCAATTTTCAAGCAATCTAATACAAACTTCACTCAATTGTAGCCAACAATAAGTTGATTGTTTAACAGTCATTTAACTTGATAAGTAAGTCCACCAATATAGTGAAAACCTGCATAAATAATGAAAAATGGCGATTTTTACTGGTTTCTTATTTTTTGTTGATCTTTCAACCAATTTTCATCAAACTTAACAATTTCTTTATAAATGTATCCTCTTTTACATCCCTGGTAGCACACTGACAAATTGAATTTCAAAAATTCCAAAATAATTGTGGTCTGAAGTGGGTCTTCATGTTGCCTGTTTTACCCCTTCATGTCCTTGACTAACTTCAATTGAATAAATACAGACTACATCTGTTATATCAGTAACTGCATTAATTCAAAATGTTTTTAATGAAAGTACCTTAAAGTAATTGAAGAAGATAGACTTTGTTAAATCTAAACATGATGCTATTTTTGCTCCATTCTAATTAAACGCTTTTTCTGATTGACTGGCTGGGTATGCTTCTAGTTAAACATAAAAAAGGGGTAATTTTTATTTTTCATAACTAAATTTGCTTTGTTTGTTTTTTCTTTTGCAACCAAAACTTCAAAGAAAATATTTGAATCTGTTTAAATTATTGCAATATGATTTAACATCTTTATTAAAATAAATCTGAATTTTTTTTTTTTTTTTATGATAAAAGTCAAATCCCCTATTTCTAAGTTTTATTCAAAATGACCCAAAGGTTTCCAAATTAGTTTGTCTGAACTTGCATTTATATATATTTTTCTTAATGAATGTTACAATTTAAATATTTATTTCTTTGTTCAACTAATCTTTTATTCTCTAGTTGAAATTTGAAGGTGTAAAATGCCTTGAAATTGCTTAAGTATTTGCTGAACATAACACAAACCACTTTCATATTTGTGCTTGACATTTTTGTTGTAACTTAATTTAAGTGCTGTTTTGTAATTTGTTAATAAACAGTAAACTTAAAATCCTTTTGTTTTGTTTTTTTTTTTTTTTTTTTTCAGAAGGATGCACTTTGAAAGCTATTCAACAGTCATATGACCCAAACTTCCTCCCATCAAAAGTTCTCAAGATGAGGCGGTTGATTGTTAGAAATCTTGCTTTTACAGTAAGTTAAAACCAATTTATAATGTTTGATTGCTTCTTTTTGTCTTTCTCTTTCAAATTAATTGACCCATGCTTAATTATTGATGCAAGTTCTTGACCTCAAAATGTAGATTGTAATTTTTGTAGACTTTTTAAGAATTGATTTAGAATGTCCAGTTTTGACAACAAAAGCAAAAAGTTTTAATTTTGTAAACCATGTTGGTCATAAAGAAAACTGAAGCCACTGATGTGCTGGTTATTTTTTTATTTGTAAAAAAACTTTCAACCAAGATCTAAACTATTAAAATTTCCAGACTATTACTTTGTACAAACTGGACCAAAATTAACTTTATTGTAATATTATTTATTTTATTAACACAGTAATATTTCAACTAAATGAATTCTACATGAAAACTTCAAATTCTCAACAGTTTTTCTTCTTTTCTAAACCTCTGATCGTCAACTAATGCTCGACAGTTTTATTATTGTAGTTATTAAACAAATTTAATGTTCATGAAATTTTTTAAGACAAAACCAATAAACTATATTGTGTTCAATATTATGCACACCTTGTCTTTGATGATGACTTTGCATTCTATGCTGAAAAATGAATTCTTTGATAAGCACATCAATCTATTTTATTCTCCATGTCAGATTACTGAAGAAGATTTAAAAAAGACTTTTGAAAAATTTGGGGAAGTCCATGAAGTTGTCATACCAAAAAAAAGTGAGCAAGTTTCAATTTATATACCTTTTTTTTTCCTTGCCTGCTGAAACTCATCTTTTTAGGTAGCCTTTTTTTTGCCTCAACACAATTTTGATTATTTCTGAATAGTTAAATAAGCAAGAAATCACACACATACACTCTGTACAGACAGCAAAATGACAGCTTTGAAAGTGAAGGGTAAGATGCTTGTATAATCTTATTGCTATAAACATTTTCTAAAAATAATGTGATCTTTTCAAAATAGGCTTTAAATTATTTAAATATTTTGCATGAAATTCAATTTGTTCATGATTTATTGTTTTTTGTTGGCTTGCTTTTTTAGTCAAAAATAATGTTTACATTTTATCCAAATAAGAAAAGAAACTTGGGGGTGGGAGGCAATATATAAATTGTTAGCAAAAAAAACCCCAATATTTTAGTAGAAATTCTTCAAACATTCAGCAGATTCTCAAACCTAATCTCTTTCCACAAAATTTGTCAACAGTAAATGAAAGAAACAAAAGATAAAATTTAAGATTTAAAATTTTGTTTATAAAATTATCAAAAAGGTATTAATGACAAATAAAAATTAAATAATTACTATAATTAGCATACAAGCAAAATTCATCTTAATTATCTTAATTGTTGCCAGTTTTATCAAAATTATGAGTAAAATTGGATAAATATATATTTTACAATAATATTAATATTACTACTATTTACATAAGTTTTGTTGCATAAAAGATTACTTTTTTCTTCTTTTTTTCCTCTCAGATGGGAAAAGTAGTGGCTTTGGTTTTGTTCAATTCACCAACATCCAACATGCCAACAAGGCAATTCTGCAAATGAACAAACAAGAAATTCAAGGTAAGTTTGCAGTTGATATTTTCTTTTTATCTTAGACTCATTGCAATCAAAGGTCTTGACCCACAAAACCCATGAAAAACAAAGAGAAGCAACCAGAAGTTTTATTCCCCCACTCCCTTTAGCAGCAATGATTTATCACCCACCAAACCAGTAACTGCTTACAGTCAAATCATGTCAAAAAGCCAGTTCTTGTTTGATCACAGGAGTTTAGCTGTGTCAAACCTAGTCAGTACTGAGATGGGTAACCACTTGGAAATACCAGTTACTATGAGTGAAAACTTTGTACAAAGGAAACTGGATAAACTGTTAATGCAACCCATGTATTTGACTTATGGCTTTTTCTTCATAAACAAAAATTTATGAAGGAACCCATATTTCTTTCAGAATCCTGGGACAGCCCTCCTGTCTGTGCTTATCAAATTTTTAAGGTGAAGGTTGGCATGCATATGACCTACACCACCCTTTAAATCAAAAGTTTACATGCAATGACCTACCAAGGTGAGACAATGGTAGCAAAGTTTTCAGATTTTGTAAGTTTTCTATTGTGCTTTCTTTTCCCTATCAATGTATTTTGCTATGTACAAATTAAGGTTTAAAATAAATCAGGCTTCCCAAACAAACAAGGTATGGAATTGTTCATCTTCCATGAATCTTAACCACTGTGAAACCAAATATATCATTTGACAACACTATTTGTTGCTATAAGCAATACAATTACCATGAATCAGCACTTTCAGTATTCTGATCTACAAAGACTTTTGTATTCATAGCATAATGGTTGCATGTGCACAGTTGAAAATTTAGATTAATATTATGAATTTAAAGATGACTGAGCTTAACAATAAGCCTAAATCTACACTGGACCCCCAAAAATCTATGGTGAATTGAACATGTTATGGCTGATGTTCCATAACTGATCACCTGACTGAAGACTGAACACATCAAATATTGAATCATCATCATCATTGTTAATCTTGTAGCAGAGAATCATTATCCAACTATTGAAAAACAACCCTTACCTTATATTAAGATTTGATTAAATGTGATTTGTTTAAAATAAAATGATTTTGAAGATCATAAGTTGTTTACTATTGTACTTCATTGATCACTGTCTAAAAACTAATAACTAAAAATAGGGGTCTTAAGCTTTAAAGTTTTGAAATCCACTGCTGTAGCATAATAATTAACAAGCTCATCTAATAGATCATTAGCTTGTGTAATGAGTACAGTCCTTATGGTCAGCTCAGTATTGTGGCCTTGTGCCAGACTAACCAAACTTAGTATATATCTATAATATTGTTTGAGTGTCTTCCATAGAGCACTGGTGAGCAAATTAGTTTAAAAATATGCCATAATTCAACTTCAAGTGACTACACCAGTCTACTTGTGTGTCAGACCACTTCCAAGCTAACCAATATTCCACAATAATATCTAATTTTGATAGTTTAATAAAGGTACATTTAGGATTCATACTTAAGCTAAAGTTTTTTTGTTTTGTTTTTTTTCTTTTCTCTTTTTTTCACTTTTCTCTTCTCTTCTTCAGGTCGACCAGTTGCTGTGGATTGGTCAGTTCCCAAATCTACATTTTTGAAGTCCAAAGAATCATCTGAACAAACAGGTTGGTAAACTGATTTTATCACTTTTCTTTGTTAACTCCTGATTATATTCTGAGATTCTTGTTTGTGCAACCTTAGAGCAATAATTTTGGAAGTAATTAGAGATTTCAATTCCTAAGTCATAAACTTTCAGTAGATGAACAAAATATAAAAAACAATTGGACTTTATTTATTGATCATACAATCTTATATCCACCCCTTTTAATGATATCTTCTGCTGTACATAAATATGCCTTGTTACAATAGAATAATTCATTACCAAAAATGGGGAGCAATCAGGCTGTTACTACATTGATTTTGATTAATGTTCTTAAAAATAAAATGTTCCTAATAAGGTCTGTGCAAATTTCAAATTACATGTCTAGAATTTAGAAAAAGAATTTACATTCATAAATTTTAATTATAACAGAAAAAAAATCATTATTTTTAGTTTTCAAGTAGAGGTTGGTATGTTCCATCATGCCTCCATGGTGGAGTAATGGATAGCGGCTTGGATTGAGGAATCTGAGAGCCGAGTTCGAATTCCAGTCGAATACATTACATTCACTTACATGCTAATACCCTTGGGAAAGGTGTGAATCCTCCTCTTCTCCCTCCAGCTATGGGTAAATAGCAGGACAGACTGGGTTCTATAGCCTTTGATGGCAACTGGTCTAGGAGAAGGAAAACTCTGAATTCAAAACCTCGTAGTGCACCAGGTCTTTGTAATCGGCTCTTCAAAAAGTGTGGATGGTCCTGCACGAAATCTTCACCACTATAATCAAATCTCATGTGCTATACATGCGGGTTTGAGGACCGCTTGTGAATTCCAAATTCCCATGAAACTCCAATATTGGAGCCAGTTCAACCCACCTCGGGTGAATGCCATTACAAGAACAAGAGAGAAGAATTGGTATGTTACTAAACAAAATCAACCAAACCAATCTAGCTAATTCCAGTTGAGAAAGGCTGGGAATTGAGGACATGACTATATTTTAATCCTGTGTAGAAAATCCTAATAGTTATAGATATAAACAAACAAAATAATAGTATTGGAGTTTTTAAGGTGGGATGAAATCTGAAAACTTTAATATTTTCTTTAGAAAATGTTTCCTTATTAAAATATTGAAAACTAGTTTAAAAGCCACCCTATTGGTGGCATTTAAGCTAGCTCCTGCAGGGGACTCTTGATCACAATAGGTAGGGAAGCGTAGATGTGACAGGCAACAATAAACTACAGAAAATCTCCAAATTGATCACTGCATTTAAGTATTGCATTAATATTTAAGCTTACCTTTTAAAAGTTCAATGATAATTCTTCTTCCCCCACTTAATTTAAAGACAGTTTGATGTATGTAGGGCCTTACTTTCCATACAAACAATGTTTTTTATTTCATGGGTGACTTTTGCTAGATTTCACAATTAATTTCAATTATTATAAAATTTATTTCCAAGTTATAAAAATTGTTACTTTACAAAAAAAATTTGTTGCAATAAACCACTTAAAAAAAAAAATCACCAAACACAATCTCAGTAATGAAAACTTGGGAATCTAAAATCTCAGGATTACAGGTCTAGATCTGGCCCTTAATGTCTTTAACATGCTCACAGAGTTAGCCTTATTCCAAAATGGTATGATATGTTGGGCTACGGCCTCTAGGAGTAAAGTTGAAAAGGTGTGACACACTAACATTAGCATTTGTTAAATAGAAAGAGATGATCTAAATAGAGTTGTGTCCCTTTAATTGAAAAAGTGTGACACACTGACATTCGTATTTATTATACAGATGTTTTGCATATTGTTATATGTGCACCTAAAAGTTATAAAATAAACTGAGAGAAAATAAAACTTCAACATCCTAAATATGTGTTTCAATTTACCCAAACCAAAGATTATACATATTCATAATATGGCTGGATTACTGTAAATGATCATATATACAAATCAATACATGCACAGGTTCCAAAATAAAAGGTGTATATACAATACTCAGACCTCATGTTTATATACTCTATATCCTCCTTGGGTATTAACACAGGCTTGTACTTTTATATGCATATGAGTATACAGATAGGGAATACCATTCTGCAATACTTTCTTTCATGTTTCTTGTACAAGTTCATACAATATAACAAAAACTGTAGGTGGGCTAACTCAATGAGTTAGGCATTGCCCCATCATATTCAATAAGAGATAGGTTTGTTTGTGTAGGCCAGAAAAATTGAAGTTGTTAAATCAGTTGCAGAACATGTAGGTATGTTTTCCTCTTGTCTGCTTATTAGCAGAACAGGTTGAACAATGTTCCAGATTCAGCGTTCCATTCTCAAACGTCATTGGTAAGAGTTGCAACTTATTGCACCATGCAGCCAACTGTTGACCCTATGTGTTGGGAGTGAATACACTGGAAGATGTCATTCCCCCAGGTTAATGTCAAATATTGCAAACACTGAACATCGTGTATAAGTCATGTATATGTTTCAAGATAGTCAAAGACTTTGAGCTTATAGCCACATCATGCTGAAACACTGGTTCTTGTATAATCACTGAAGCCTGGTCAGTACCAAGATTATAGTTGGGAGCACTCCAGATGTTGTAAGCTTGGATGTATGGTTGGTGTTATAGATAATGGCTCAGAATTGTTAATCAGAGAGCCAAGTTCTAATTCCTGTTGGATTCATTATATTCACTTACATGCAAATCCATTGGGAAAGGTATAAATCCACCTCTTCTCCCCCAGCTATGGGTTAATTAGTAGGACTTGTATCACTAAACCATTAATATCTCAAAAAAAGTCTTAGTCTAAAAATAAATTGTGGCTTTAAACAACCTACAAGTAGTTGATAAGCCATAAAAAAACAAATCAGTCAATCAATAAAAGATTTTGAAAATTTTGTCATATTTACTCCTAGAATGCACATACTGTATGCCAATATAAATTGGTGTCATTCCTTTAAGTGTTGCAATTTTATTTTCCATCAGTGTTTGTTAATAAATTATAACAAATAGGAATATATTCTTGCATGAACATGCTTATATATTACAAGTGTATATAAAATATGCTTAAATGAATTTTTTTTTTTTTTTTCAACATTTTTAGAGACAACCAAAAAAAAGGAAGCTAGTGATGATAGCATGTCCAGTGATTTATCTGATGATGATGATGATGACAACGATGATCATGATGACAGCGGTTCAACTGACAAAGAGGAAGTTGAAGATGAGAGCACAAGTCTTTCTGATTCTGGCACTGATGGTAAATTGTGTGTGTGTAGTGTCTACTCCTCCCCCACTTATTCATAACAGCTATGCTTATTGTTTTTGAAAATTAAATACTTTTATGAATAAATGTTAAAAAAAATAAACATTTACTAATGAATCCCTTGCAATTGTTGTCTTTAAAAAAATATTCCATGAAAAATGTCAACGCAATTTTTCAACTTAGAAAACCAGTTACAAGGTAACTGGTTTTCTAAGATGATGGATTTTTTTGTCAATTTCAGTGCAATGGTATCACCATTTGTGCTAATTGTGGTGTTCCTAGTTTAATTGATTGTTACTTTGTGTTCTTCATTTTAGAGTCTGAAACTACCTCAGGAACTGTCAGTTCTCTCAGTGAATCAGATGAAAGTGACTCTGAGGCTCCAAGTGAACAATCCGATGAGGAAGAGGAAGATGATGATGATTCTGAAGATGATGATTCTGAAGGAGAGGATATTATTATGGAAGATGATATTAAACAAAAGCCCAAAAATGCAAAATGTAAATTTTTCTTATTTTTGAATTTATTTTTTTTTATTTTGCTCTTACATATTCTCAAAATATTTCCATCTCTTCATTCTGTGTTTATGTTTAGCAAAGGTTCAAAGCCATATTTGTCTTCCTAGTTTAATTGGTTTTTGCTCTGAATGAAAATTTTGGATATTTTATTAAATTTTAGAAAAAGTTACACACAAACATTATATATATATATATATATATATATATATATATATATATATATATATATATATAGAGAGAGAGAGAGACATGATGAAGCTTGTTTAAAAAAAACAAAAAAACCTGTCTACCAATGAAAGGTAACATGTTTAAAGTGAGCAGATTTTGTAAGAAATAGAGCATTAATAGTAAATAAATAAAAGTTCAAAAACTTATCTCCTGTCACAGTTTCACAGAGAAATCTACACATCTGGGCCAAGAAAAATCAATTTAATTTACTAATAGATGTCATATTTATTTTAAAATTTAGTTGACATCAAAAATGGTTTTCATTTTTTTTTTTTTTTTTTTTTTTTTTTTTTTAAAATACATTTTAAAATAGTTTTTTTCATTTTATTTTTTTTTAATTTATTCAATCTCATATATATATATATATATATATATATATATATATATATATATATAGCAGTGTGTGTGTGTGTGTGTGTTTATATAAAATCCCCCTCTTTTTTAATATTTCAGTCATCACTGATAAAAAACCATCTGTTACACCTCAAAAAAGTGATGTTGAAGAAGGTCGTACATTGTTTGTCAGGTAATTGTCTACCTTTTTTTCTTTTCTCCAAAATCAATTGCCCACTGATCCTGATATCAAGATTTTATCTTTATTGATTTTCTCATAAAATGCATTAAAAACATTTTAGAAGCTTGATTCTTCATGCCAAATCTAAACCCACTTGCTTAAGATATAAAAGTCTGTAAAAGAATATATATTTGGCCACCATAGTCTATACATAAAGTATAAAAGTTTTTCTCCTCACTTCTCAATTGTCAATAGTAAGAAGCAAACGCCAATATATCTAGCAATATAATGGCATGTTTCCTCATGAAGCACTTTTTTACTTTTTTTTTTTTTTTTTTTTTTAAAGTGTAGTAATGAAGTCATACAACTAATTTCAGATTTTTTTGTGTTTTTGGATGACCTGAAAATGATTTTTTTTTCTCTTTTATTAACTATTTTCAGGAATGTTCCCTTTAACTGTGATCAAGATGAATTAAGCAAGTTATTTACTGAGTATGGACCAATCAAATATTGTGTGATGCCCAGAAATGAAGCTGATGTACCCAGAGGTAATTTTTTAGTTTTTTTGTTGCTTCTTTTTTTTTTCTCTCTCTCTTTTTATGCTCTCAGTGATATGTGAAAAAGAATATTTTTTTAAAAGATTGACTTAGATTTTATGCCCATTAGCCTTTGTTTAAGGCCAGGATCTAAAAGGCCAATTTTCACAGTTGGGATGTTTACAAATTTAGATTCTAGATAAACTATTTAAAAAAAAACATACCTCCATGTCTTTTAAGTGCCATAGATTATAAGAAATACAAATTATAAATGTGAATAAGTCGCTTTGATCAAATTAAATAGAAGATTGCAGAATTTACAGTATATAAAGCAATATGCATTCAATAAAATATAGTTGTAGTTATTTCTTGATTTAACAAAATCCACTTCACTCATTTATAAATATTACTTAATTCCAAGCTGGTTGAATCCATGATATAATAGATGACATGATGAACAATTTATGGCATCTTGAACAAATAGGCATGAAACAGATAATACTGGGTTACATAACAACAATAACTAAAAAGAATCCATGCACTTGTATGCTCTAGATCAGTGGTTACCAACCGGTGGTCCATGGACCCACTGGTGGTCCATGCAAAATTTTTGATGGTCCGCAGAAAAATGGGGACATTATTTCAATTTTTATGAAACTTCAAATTTTTAATTTGTTTTATTTAAATAATTAAATTTAAATAAATTACACTATAACTTTATCTTTTTAATGGGTGAATTTCATATTAATAAAATAAAAGTTTTCCAATTATTATTATTATATAAATTTATTTACTTTTTCTTTTTCTTTTTTTTTCTTTCTAAATTCATATTAGTGGTCCACCAAATTTAAAATTATACATTTAGTGGTCCATGAAGTTCAAAAGGTTGGCAACTGCTGATCTAGATCATTGGGGTGCCATGATGCAACTGCCTATTTCCACTCCAAATAACATGAAACAGGTAGTAGCAGAAAGAACATCTGATCTGATTTTACAAGTATATTCTTTCACTCACCTTAATTCTCTTGGGGCTGGTATGCCAGTAAAATGACATATCTCAAAGTTAAATCATACCCACCCCTTTTCATGCAAATTGTATTTGTTTTCATTCTTAGTCAAATTTTTCTTTATAGATGAATAAACAGAAAGTGAATTGTCAGTAAAAATGGTTTTTCTATTTTTCATTCAGGAACTGCATTCGTTCAGTTTGTCAAAAAGGAGGACGCAGAAAGATGTCTAGAATGTACTAAACAGGATTCAGAAGTACTGAGAATTCTTTTACTTTACTCATTTTATTAGTAAAATTTTGTCCTTTGGATTTTTTATTGATTTTTTTCTAACACCTTATATTTAAAAAAATAACCTAAAACACTCCTTTTTATAAAAACCTTGAAATTATTATTTCAGTAAGTAATTTTATATTTTACGAGAATCAGTGTAAAAAAAATAAATAAATCAATCAATAATAATGATTTTAGATAAAAGATAGAAAAATAACAATTCAGTATAAATATTCTTATGACAATATTTGGTAATAGGGTGCCTACTGTAAGTAATGCTGAGTCTCTAATAAGCCATAGCTTGAAAGTTTCATCCTTGATATGTAGCCCAGAAAACTTAGATGAAGAAAAGGAATATATTGAAAAAATATTTAGACTTCTTTTCTACCCACATCATTTCATCCACAATACTAGAAAACAAGCATACAAAGTCGATAAGTCCAAAAAAATTACACACTGCCAATGACACTTCTAATATCAATAATACAAAATTCATAATCTTACCCTCAAACACTATCTACAAAATTTGAAAATAAATTAGTTATCCCCAACACTAGAGTCTTTACCGCCACCTCCAAGACAATTAGAGATATAGTTAGGAAGAAAAATACATCCAACACCACTTCAGATGTCAGGATTTATTAAATAAAGTGCCTGCAATGTAAAAATAGTTATATTGACGAGACAAATCTATAAACTAAGAGAGAACCACAATGGGATATCCTTTAAACTTACTCGTAACACATAGGAACAAAACTGGCCATAACTTTGATTTTATAAATGCCACCCTTATTAAAAAGAACATAATTATTTATGTAAGAAATACTTTGAGGGACACTGATAAATCTCTTACCATCTCTAAACATACATCAAACACATACTTAAAGAATCTGAAATATGTTTACCTACCACTACTTCAAATGTTATGTAAAATGTCCCCAAATCAACATACAGACAAATTCCACCATATTACCACATAGAGATAAAAATGCCTACTAGACACACATAAATATACATTATCATCCAAATTCCACATAGACAAATGAGAACCATGATACACTTACACAAATAAATTTACACACAGATACTGCTTTACAAGACAAAATCTTTGTAAAGTCTGCTTAATGAATGAAGACACAAAAATTAAAAATACCAGAATTTTTTCTCTCTCTCATTTTCTTATAAAGCTTTAATAAAAGTGAAACATTTTAGATTTATAAATGTTTTCTATTTGTTCTTTATCCTATCATTCTGTTGGATTCCAATCTATATTTGATCCCAATCATATATATATATATATATATATATATATATATATATATATATATACTTTTCACAGATGATAGACAGATGTGCCAATATTATGATAATCATCTTCCTAGGCAATAAAAAAAAAAAAAAAAAAAAGGAAGAATGAAATTCAATTATTTGTTACAAGTATTTCTTTGGGAGACTTATATGGTTTCCATTTTGCATCTTCTTTAGACTGGTGGGATGATGTTGGATGGACGTCAACTGCTCGTTTCCAAAGCTTTGTCTCGAGAGGAAGTTACTAATTTGAAAAATGCATCAAAAGAAAAGAAACAAGATTCTCGAAATTTGTATTTAGCTCGAGAAGGATGTAAGTATTAACTTGTTTGAAAGCGGCATGTTCTCACAATACTAAACTCAGTATGTTTGATTTCGATATTTTTGTTTTTAAAAATAAATGTACAAGAGCAAATGAACTTATTCAAATTAAGAACTCTTATTCAAGAGGGCTTCTTGGGATTTTCTACCATAAGTGATTATTTCTGGTATAAGAATGAATAGGATTGTTGCTTCCCCTCCCCACTTACCCTTTAGAATCTATAAGTAGCCATCATTTATTTAAATTGAGAAATCTCTGCACAATTAAATTATTTAAAAAAAAAAAAAAAGTGTAAAACAATAAAACAACTGAACACCTGATATTTTGCTTATTTTAATTTTTCCAAAAATGTTGGAAAAACTGAATATTTAACTCACATGAAACAGCAGAGACGTTAAAAAAAAAGAAATAAATAAGCCTGTCTACAATTCTTATATTTGGATGTTTGATACTTCATCTACAACTCTCTACAGGAGGCATTGAACTTGAGTCAGAAAGGATTTATGCTGACATGATCAGAACACAATTTCATAGTAATTTAGAGCCTATCTATGTAATTCCCCAGTCTTTTTAATGTTGTTTTGTTAATTTTCTTATTTTTACAGTGATAAGGGCTGGCATGAAGGCAGCTGAAGATTTGTCAAAAACAGATCTGAATAAGAGACTTAAGGTTGGTGTTGTCTGATTTTATATTTGTTTATAATAATGTTGTTACTGTGTGTACATGTGAGTGGTGTAAAGGACAGTGGCTCCAAATGAGAAATCAAAAAGCCAAGTTCAAATTCTAGTCAGGATCATTATATTCACTTACATGCAAATACATTTGGGAAAGGTATGAATCCACCTCTCTCCCAGTTACGGGTTAAATATTAGGATTTGTATCCAAAAAAATTGTTATTTTCATATTCACTCACAAAACAAAAAGGAATTATTCTTATAATCTAAAATGTGTTTCATCTTTAAATGAAAGTTGATAAGTTGTAAAAAAAAACAAATCAATTGATGTTACTGTGTGTTTTCAAAGAATCAATTTGGATTAACACAAGAATGAAGAATATTTACATGACCTTTCATAGGTCAATTTCTGGACAGTAAATGTTGAATGACACTGAAAAATGTCTCCTTTTGTCAACTTAATGTGTAGAAACTTTTTTGTGTGCAATATATAAACTTTTAATAAGCCTATAACATTGTATTTTTATGTAATTTTTTTTTTCTTTAATCATTTTACCCCAAACAAGGCAATAAAGCCACTAAGATGCAAGGGAGTTACTGAGTGTGAGAGAATATGAGAAAAAGAAAACATGATTAAGAAGAGAGAACAATAAAAGAAAAGGAATTAAAACAACAATTGATATTGAATTAAATCTTTGAAGATCAGAGTTGAATGGAAAGCAAGAAACCAAAAAGAGTTCCACAGGTGCATTTATATAAAGAAATCTCCTTATATACTGCTTTATAGATGTGTGTATGTACACACAAAGCCCGGGGGGGGGCAGATTTTGGTGAGTTTGTTGGGTTAGTAACTTTTCAGCATTTTCAGAGTATATGATACTTCTGCACTACCCAAACTAGCAATTAAACTCCAAAACTGCCAAAGAGCTAGATATTTTAATCAATGATATATTCCAACCTACCCTGTGTCTCTTTGAAGCCTTAAATTTTATATCTGTAGTCAAATGGAAATTTTTGAGTATCCTTTCTTTTCTAATCATAGGCTCCCAGATGCTATTCATCTCTGTTAGGTCCACTGGGTAGGTTATCAGAGCCTAACATGATCACACATGCCTGATTTTAATGTCTCTTCCTGATATAGGCTTTTTAGAGTTTGGCTGATCTCACCTTTGTAGTCCTTGCCACAACTGCATGGGACAGAATATATACAGTTCTTGATCATATTCTCTTTTGAGGAATCTTGTTTCAGAAGAGATATTTCCAAAGGGTTAAACTGCTTTTGAATACTCTCCTGATGTTGCGTGGGCTGCAGATTCTATAACAGACTGGCCATGGCATATTTTTGATTGTTGTCCATGTCTCTTCTGCTCCTGCATGCCGAAGCTAATCTTAGGCTTTCAGGGTAGTTGTTACCTTGAAGGGTTATTCTGATGCTGACCACCTGTTAACATGTATCTGGGCAACCACTTGTTTAGCCCTATGTTGTAAGCAGTAGATGATCCATTTCTTGACATGTAAATGGCATGAATTTAAGTTCTGGTATTGTCTGATGAATGTTGGTTTATGATATACGAATGTCTTGAACCCATACTCTTTGTGAATTATTAGTACATTCAGAAAGGCTAGTTGATCTGCTTTTACCATTGTGAACCTTATGGAAGGTCTCATTTTGAGTTCAAGGAGGCACGGTGGAGTAATGGATAGTGGCTCTGATTGAGGAATCGGAGAGCCGAGTTCAAATTCCAGTGGAATCCATTACATTCACTTATGTGCTAATACCCTTGAGAAAGGTATGAATCCTGGGTTCTATAGCCTTGCATGGCAACTGATCTACCGCAAAAAAAAAAATTACAACCACCTGCAGGAAAAAATCTGCCTCGTCAGTCATGTATTGCCTAAGCATGTATCTCGTATGGCACATAACTGACATTTTAAGTTCACATGGACCAGCTGTGCTTGCACATCTTCCTGGTGACACCCAGGTATGAATGTGTCAAACACATATCTAAGCCACATGGTTGACATTAGTGGTATTGTTCCTATTGTAATTCTCTCAAAGTATTCCATGTATGGCAATATTTTACCTAAGTCTTCTTTCTATCTGTGCATGTTGTATCTCAGCACAAAGCATGGGTTCAGGAAATATATATCAGTGGCTTAAGATAATATATATATATATATATATATATATATATATATATCTTAAGGCACTGATTTTATTTAATTTTACATGTGGGTACATGTTAGGCACTGACAACTTCCTCAGTACACCTAGTTAAACACCATTTAAGATCCTCTGATTAAGAAAGGACACTCAAAAATTCTCCTACGAGAAATTAAATTTAAGGCTTTAAAATGACACTACTAGCTGAAACATTGTACTAACAGCAATAAAGATGAGATTTGAACATCTGACTAATGTTGGATATGAAATCAAAGTTTTTTTTTTTTTTTAATACTCGCCATCTCCAGTCCTAATTTTATATAAAAAATGTTTCTCTGGAAGTAATGCTTAATATTTTATTATGTTAGTGACAGTAGAGATTGAAGCTTCCCATCATTTTTTTTCTCTACCCTATTACAGATAGCAGCTGAGTAACAGTCTGGCAAAATGACATCTGACATGAAAATAAATGCAAAGCACAAATGTATCATTAAATTCTTCTATGTGGTACATTTGGCCCCATTGATTTACATTGATGATTGCAGAGGCCACAATATTAATCAATGGGTAAGGCATTTCAGCAAGCCACACACATTCTAACTGATCTTTGACAGCTGACAACCCACAAAAGGTTTATCATTGAAAAAATACATAGCCACTAGTTACAACAATATGAAAAAAATTGTAGCTCTATCCAAAAGTATTATTGTACTCCTCACGGCTGTTGTAGTTGCCGTGGAAATATAAGCAACATTACTTTTCTAGTATCCTTTGTGTGCACACATGTGTGTGTTTGATTTTATTATTGAAATTTTGAAATCTGACCATTCTCAAGAATTTGTTGTTTTTTTTTGTTTTGTTTTTTATATATAGGTTTGATTCTGTTTGTAATTTTGATTGGCTTTATTATTCTTTTTTCCTCAGATTGAAATGACAAAACGTCAGAAATTGAAAGATCCCAACATATTTATTTCTCCCTTAAGACTCTGTGTACACAACATTCCTACTCATGTGGATGATAAAGAACTGAGAAAAGTTTACCTGGATGCCGTAAAAGATAAAAGTGCCCTCCTTACTGAGGTAATCACACTCTAATCTTATATCTTCAGGCTTATCTTCGTTTATATCTATAGTGCTATTAAGAGTTGTTTCACTGTATGTGGGCTCACAAAGTGGGTGAAGAAGAGGAGCAAACGGAGGAGAAAAGGAAATATTTTTGTACACTCATCACCAAGTATGATGTGATTTGGTCTTTTAAAGCAAATCAAAATTTCCACTTCTAAACCTATCAAACCACTTAACAAAGAGTAATCTCAGCTATGGCACCATCTCTATAATTGGTACATATCTTTTTTGCTGTTTGTACAGTAGTTTTTCCTTTCTGAAAATAAAAAAAAAACATCAAATGACAAAAATGCATCACCTTTTCCTCCATTTTCATTTTTGACACAAAAACATTTTAAAATTCACCAAACACACAAAGCATGTAAAAAGATGTGTTTAAGTGTAACCTTTCACATCTGAAATGAAATCACTTGTTCAAACACCACCTACTGAAAAATGCTACAAACTTGTTTCAATCACACACACGTGTGTATGTGTGTGTGAAGTTATCCAAATTTTGTATATGTATCATTATTGTTGTTATTAGATTTTAATAAGTTTTCCTTTTTATCTTCCAAAATATTTTAAAAAGATGAAAACAATCCAACTGCCTTCTCTTCTTTTTACTGTCAAATAAAATCTGTTTATATTCAAGTAACTGGCCAAGCTGAAGATCCTGATTGGTGACTATCAGCCAATCAAATTACTTTACAATGCACAAAATATTTAATTCACTCTCAAATGTTTTGAGTTTTGTTATTTTCTAACAAAATGTCCTCTCAAGGATTCACAGTTCCCTGACATGAGATGCAAAGTATTTTCAAATGTTCATATTTTTATTTTGTTAAGACTTTATATTGTAATATGATACATCTGTTTTTGTATCTTCTGAAAATGCTACCAAAATCAGTTAAAATGAAATTGATTTTTTTAATCATCAGTGTCGAATCATGAGAGACTTGGACCGAACAAATGCAAAAGGTCTGGGCAAATCCCGGGGTTATGCTTTTGTTGCTTTCACAGAGCACAAGCATGCATTGACTGCCCTCCGTAATACCAATAATAATCCTGCTGTTTTTGGTCATGACAAGGTAAGAGATTTTCTCAGTTGACAGTTATTAGCATTTGGTAAAATAGTTGTTAGGAATTTACTCACATAAAGTAATATTTTATTGGATAGAAACTTAAAAAGAAATATTAAATTAAGAAAGATTTGATGAGTTAAAGTTTCTAGTTGATATATCTTGTATATATATTTTTTTTAAACTGATGCTAGTTTCTCTATTTTGTCTGTTAGATTTTGTGCTGAAGATATCAAAATTAATGAAGACTATTTTTCTCTTGATAAATAATGAATGGAAAATGTGAACATTCTCTTCACAAAAATGGCTTTGATTTTTCAAATAATTTTAGCTGCTGATTTGTCAAATCAATAAATTTGAATTGGGGTAATTTTTTTTTTTTTTTTTTTTTTTTTTTTTTTTTCAGAGACTCATTGTGGAGTTTTCCCTTGAAAACAAAAAAGCACTGGAAGCAAAGCAAAATCGTTTAGAGAAAGCAAAAGTAAGTTATGGTTTCTCTTCAATATAATTTAGTCTGCATCTTATGCCAGTAAACTGAACATTTGTTTCTTCTTGCTATGCTTTTTGTGTACTTGGTGTCTCAAAAATCAAGCAGTATTTTGAAGTCTTTAATTGGAAAGTCACCAGGAGATGCTTTCCGTGAGAGATGCATAGAAATTTCAAAGCGTAATCTCTACGGGTACAGAGTTGGTAAAAACAAAAGTGTAGCATGGTTGCTGTTTTTTTTAATCTCTACTGGACTCAAACTGCAAACACAATGTATAGAAAATATCATAACTCTCATATATTCTGTATCAAATGGGAATCCTTTATTTAAAGATATAAGCATAAATTGGGAGATTAAACATCATATGTAAGAAGATAAAAGTTGATCAGTCTTTCCATGTGTATCTCAGCACTATAATATTGCTTTCTTGCATGAAAGATGCTTATGTCACAATATCTCTCTTCCTCTCCCTGTGACAACTTATTCAGGAAGCTTTTCTCTTATTTTCTCTGCTACCTCAATATATTTGCTCATTTCAAATAGATCCTGATCAGTAAAATCAGAAAAACACTCTATTTCAATACAAACGACTGAAAAGGCCACCTCCTCTTCTTTGGCCCAAAACACAACACTAAGAATATTATAAATATATAAATAGTGTTACTTAGTCTTCCACTTGTCAAATAATAATGCTGCCACACACCAGAAAAAGAGATTCCCCAGCTTTAACTTAAAACACTCCAAATACACAATTCCAATACTTGTGACAGGTTTTAATCATATTTGAACACAGTGTTTAAGTGATTAAAATAATGAAGACTGGCAAATTATTTAAGGCTGTTTCTCTTTATTATACTTGTGTATATTATCCATGCCTACAGGTTACCTCTTTCTGTCCATGTTCATTTTATCACAACATTTCAGCTAATACTTCCTTGAATCTTATTCAGTTCACTCACTTTCGATTTTCTTAGTTGCATGCTTCTAAATCTAGACATCAAAGACTCCAACAGGAATTCTTTACATCAACATCAAGAAAAACCCAAATGGATGAAATCTGACTTTATATATGTGTTACGTTCTTGTCCTTTCGATCAAGTGCTATTGAGAAAAAGGTAATTCCAAAACAATGGCGGTCGCTGCTATTAAAACATCACTCTTCGTTAATGAATTGAGCACTCTGGCTGATGACGTTTGTATACATTCATATATAATACATTAGAATTTCCCTTTCTTTGCCAATAGTTTAGGAGTAGGATCCCCAAGTGATGCCAAATCAGTCAAGTTTCAATCTCAGCTTGAAGCAATCAGATATCTACCCACACTAATGAGCTGTGATATGGCAAAACAGGATGACTAATATATATATATATAATAATAATAATAAATTAACTGATTTAAAATATGATTTTTCACTACACAGTAATGCTCTGTAAATTTTTTTTTGTAAAAAATAAAAATATCAATAAGAACACAGGATTACATATCTTACTGTTCTTTATATATATATATATATATATATATATATATATATATATATATATATATATATATATATATATAAACTTTTATTCATACACACATATTTCTATCTCTCATCCAAGAAGCATCATTGTAACCTCTTTTATTCCAAATAAACTAAATGCTGCTTTGTCTTTAAAATCTGTTGAAAAAAAAGTTGATGAATTCTCCTCTAAGTTTGATCACTCTTTCAACATTGTTATTATATCTGACGACATAGTCATCATAAAAATCTTTTAGGAATGTAACTTTATCTAAATCTTTTAAATTCTTTAGTCTTCCTCTTGATTTGGTTTGATGAGAAAATATTTGGGCTAAGCTGGTTATCAGCAAAATACATCAACTGATTAAACTCTGGATAGAGAACAGGAACTCTGTTGACAAATAAAGAAGGCTTACATGGAATACACACTGTGTGCAGTCTTTGTTATGAAGGAAATGTAGGGCTCAGCAAAAGCAACAGAATTGAAGCAGGAATCTGACAGAAAGGACTCTATAGCATACTTCAAGGGCCTGGAGGTGGTGTTTAGTCCAAAAGAAAATAGGTCTTATCCTGTCCTATCCCCTGATGGGTAAACCTTGCTCACATAAAAGCATGATCTCCTCTCTCAGTAGAAAGGACACTTAAAAAATATCCTAAACTCTGAATTGTTGTTTGATGAAGATGTTATTGCATCAATATTTCAGAGACCTAAATTTCTAGAACTCACCCATGACCCTAATATCAAGGAGCTTTGTGATGCCATAAAGTAAATATAATCTTCCAAAATCCCTGGTCAAGATGGTATACCACCTAAGATTTTGAGATTCAATAGAGACCATCTTGTAAGACAACTTTACAATCTATTCCTTGTCATGTGGGAAACTGGAGTTTAAGAAGATTAGAAAAAAGTCAATTGACTGTACATCTTTACAAAAGCAATGGTGAAAAAGAAAATTGTAAAAACTCTCAAGGAATTCCACAACTTTGCATTACTGGCAAAGTTCTTGCTCGTCTAATCTTGAATGGAATTGTATCTAAACTGGTAAGTCTATCCTGAAAATCAATTTGGGTTTCATTTTGGATGGAGCATCATAGATTTTATTTTTCACTCTATGAAAAGTTGCTTGAAAAAAATCATGATTTTTGTGGACTTGACAAAAACTCTATCAACTGCAATGCCTCATGGAAGGTTCTCAAAAAGCAAGGCATTCCTGATAAAATGTCAAGTATTGTCATTTCTTTCCATCAGGGTATGAAAAATTCTGTCATCTCGAAAGGTGAAAATTCTGATCTCTTCATTGTAACAATGAAAAAAAAATTTTTATCATGGCTCCTGTACTTTTTAGCCTGTATTTATTCCTGCAGGTTTAAAAATGGTGCTGTCCCTTGTCCTATATGTGGAATGTTGTGTGGGTCTCAAGCTGGCCTTAAAACTCATCAAAGGCACAAACACAATTAGGAGATCGAGGGCAAAATATACTGTTGAATGCTCATAAATTGAAAACAATGGGGCAATTCATTTCATTTCATACATACATATATATATACATACATATATATATATATATATATATATATATATATATATATAATGGACTCTCCTGACAGTTTTGACGCATGAGGATCTGACAACTTAACCAATTTATTCAGTTATTCATTTTGTGTGATAATCTTAAGTGGTACTTAAGACCTGCGGATTGTAGGATGAGGTCACTCTTAGATTGGCTGACCTTTTAGATCTTGCTCTCACTTCTTGAAGATGATTCAGACTAGCAGATTGAAAACTGCAGAGTCCACTAAAATATGTTGATCTTCACTCTACCTGCTCCAAGGCTAAGTGCTCAAGGGTGTTTTGAGGTATATTGACAATTGACAAGTTGCTCTTCAGCTTGTGTTTGTATCCTATAGCCCTGATCTAACTGGCTGTACTTTAGGATCTTGAGTCATAAGACATTCTCAAGACATGACCAGTCCACTGCAATTGAGATTGTATGAGGAAAGTCTCAATTCATATTACAGGTCTACATTGGATGTCCTGTCTTGAAGGTTAACTCTGCAGATGGCTCTTATGGAAAACATCCAGCTGGCATATATGGTACCTGTATGGAGTCCACAAGTTGTACAAAAGGATATATATATATATATATATATATATATATATATATATATATATATATATATATATATATATAGTGTGTGTGTGTGTATGTATGTATATGTATATTTCTTATTACTGTAAATATTATTTTAGTGGATACCCATGTTTGATTTCAACACATTAGAGACTTAAAAAAAAGTTCATTCTCAGGTCAGGTTCAAAATTGTCTCCCTTTGTAGAATTAACCAACTATCTGATCCAGTATGCTTTAAACCACTTGGCCAAAACAAAAATTGATGAGCCTGTTTAAGTTTTTGTAAATAAGATGAAGATAAGTCCAATTAATGTGAGAAATAATGAAAGATTTTCTTCACAAATGTAAGAAGGTTGAAAAATCTATCAGACCAAATTTTGTATAAAAACAAAAAAGATAAAAACAATAATCAGAAAAAAATGTGGAAAATAACGAAATTACTACGTTTCAAGATTTCTGACAATGTAGGGAAACTAAAGGATATAATACTTTCTTTGAAAACAACAAAAATGAATGCAAAAGTTTGAAAAATCTCTTAATTAATGAAGTTAATACTTTAACTATATAGTTTAATATCGAAATATTATTTAAAAAACAATCCAGAAATGTTGAAGAACATATTGGTTGACAAAGATTGATTCAAATAATTATATTATTTATATTCAGACTAATATCTTCATCTTTATTATGGAATATTCTTGTTGGCTCAAAGAGTTCACATTATAGCTAATATTTTTTCCAATGATTGTGAAGAATGCTTTCCCTTGCAAAGGAATACTCTGCTCTTTCCATCACTGTTTATGCTCTCCTGGGACTCTTGATTGATAAATCTAGTAGAATGAGCTTTAAGTCCCTCCATCCTTTTCGGAATGTCAGTGGACGGGGTGACATCCTGTAAATTTTTGACAGATCTTTTCCTAATGTCTCCATTAGTATATCACATTGGGTCTGTATTTATTCAATAAATTTTATCTGAATTTTTGGGTTGAGGAATTATCTTTTGTGATAGATAAGGATATTAGTCTGAATGTAAATAATAATTCCCCATCCTAGAAATTCAGATAGTCCAAATATTGTGTGAAATAAAGAAAAGTCTTCATTTCCCATCTTACTTATAACTGTTTTTTTTCATAGATGCGACAGGAATCCTTGCAAGGCATGACAAAGGAACGGAGAAAGAAGAAAGATATTTTCACAGTCAAAGACTCCTTACAGAATCCTGCTGCTAAAAAGGAAACTGTAAGCAGTGCTGGTGGAATTGGCAAAAAATCCAGCCGGGTCATGCCTTCACATATTGGACCAAAAAAACGTCACAGAGACCGAGGGAAAAACTTTGCCAATCCTACTAAGAAAGTTATAAAAGAAAAGAAGATTCATCAATATGAGGATTCTAACAAACAAAATAAAGTTAATAATAAGGTAAGTAATATTTTTTATTCTTATTTACCTGGCTTGGTTATGAATTATTACATACATTGATATGAGTAGGCTGATCAAAGTGACCAATTTGCCATTAATTTATTTTCTGCTTACTACCATTTTATGGCAGGGAGTGGTATTCTCTTTTGCCTTTTGATATTATACACTCAAAGAAGGCTGTAGAATAAACTGACTGGAATATTATGGAAACATGAAAAAAAAATGAATAAAATGATAAATACGTTTACATTTCAATTATGGGAAAATGGTATAGAAATATATTTTTTATTTTTTTTGGTGGGGGGGTCTATAGGAAAAGGAAAAACATTTTCATATGATGTGTTTCATCTTTTAAAACTTCATTGGACTAAATGAATGTTTACGCTGATATGATTACACATGCACACAAAGAGGATGCTAAGAAATGTAATTTTTTTTTTTAAATGTTTTGAGTATATAGTCTAGCCAATTTTGATTTAGTTTCTTTTTGTTCTAAATATCTTAAGCCCCTTCAATATCCTAATTATTGCATATTCAAAGTCTTGTAAAGTATTTCAAAATAGAAAACATACCTTCCTGATAAACCTAACCGATCAAAATATATTGTTCCACTTAACTCTATCACAACTACAATTGAAAAGAATTTATCTAAGCTCAACATCAAATTTGTTGCAACTACTTCTAAAACAAAAAGACTTAATAATAAAACAAAATAAGCTAAAACTTGAAGGAGGAATTTATTTGATCACCTGTAATAATTGCTACAAGGAATACATAGGAGAAACCTCAACAAATTTAAATAAAAAATTATATGAAGACAAAAATTTTTATTGCTGGTAATATTTTGTTTTGTACATCAAAATTGTATTGCTGGTAATAATTTTTTCAAAAAAGTATTGCTGGTAATAGTTAACTATTTGCTCATAACTGGGACCCTAACAGGTGCTACCACCCCGGGTCTGGCTGGACCTGGGAACACCAGCAATTAAGAGGTGGTTCCACGCTCCTCAAAACCTCCTGATCAGAGGCCTTGCTGCTGGATGTAGTTTAATGTCTTACCCAGGATGAGTTTCTAATCATGAAGAACATGAAGTATGTGCAAAAGTTTTCAATAATTTTTCCCCGTGCACCCCTTAAAAAAAAAAAATCAGTTTTCATCTGTTGAAACTGTTAAATAAGCTTGATATATTTGGGAAAGATATTATAATAATCCAGAACTTATAGCACCTACATACAGATAGAAAATGAATTTGATAAATACGCAAAAACAGAAAGGTGTGTAAGAAAAGGATGTGTCTTCCCAATGGACTTATTCAACCTTTACAGTGAGGTGATTCTGAGAGAATTAGAAGTCCTACCAGGATTCATTATTGGCAGCCACAATCTTAAAAATATAAGATATGCAGATGACACCATGTTGATAGCAGACATAGAAAGGAGACTACAGGAACTAAAGGAAAGGTACTAAAGGAAAGTGAGAAGAAAGGACTAAACATCAATTGTCAGAAGATAGTGTATAGCTGTCAGCAAAAGAATGGGCCCAACATTACAAATTGGAGATATCAAAATCAAGCAAGTTGATAAATTTAAATATCTAGGAAGTGTTTTAACAGAGGACAGGAAATGCGACACTGAAATCCAAAGGTGAATTCAGATAGCAAAAGATGCTTTCCAAAATTTAAGCAAAGTATTAAGAAACAGAAAGAGTTCATTAGAAACAAAGAAACGTGTACTTAATTGTTATGTAACATTGATCTTCCTGTATGGCAGTAAATGATGAACAATCTCTTCACAGATGAAAAAAAAAATTGAAGGATGCTGCAAATACTATCAACTGAACATGTGAGCAATAACAAAGTTTTAAAGAAAATGGCAACAAAAGGGACACTTATAGATAGGGAAAATATAAAATTTACTAAGAGCTACAGAGGAATGAAATTGTGGAGAGCTATGATTGCCCACATCCTGAAAGAACATGGCACATAGAAGAAGAATGCAGGCTCTAATTTTCAAAAATATGGTGCCTATACTTGACATTATTTTCTGTATTTCTGTAGATAGACAGAAAGCTGCATTTTTGCAGTTTTCCCCAAGTATACCATAAAAATCATCCACATCTATGATGCATTTTTATGGGCAATGGTGAAACAAAATGTTTGTAACTAGGTAGACTGAAGATGATATATTTTATGTCAGTTTAGGCTTATTAACTTCATAACTGGTAAATATGTAATTAATTCAGAAATGTCTGCGTATATGTGACCAGGTTTACGGCTGAAATATTTCCAACGTTCAAGTTAAGGTAAAAAGCCAAGAATTCAAAAGCTGATTTTAAAAGCAACAGCAGGATTAACAATCTTTCTACCATTATTTCTCCTAGTGTCTTTATGCCATACAAAGTTTCTCATTATCATTAGTCAAGACTTAAAAGCTTGACGAAAGGCTACATTACATCTTCCTTTTGCTAGCAGAATGCCCTATACAAGACGCACATTTCTTGAATATTTGAAGAATAGAAAAAAAGGCTTTCCAATGAAAATATGTGGAAAAAGATTTTGTAAAAAAAAAAAAAAAAAAAATTATGACTTTGTTTCAAATAAGAAATTTAAACAAGACTCTATTTAAAGTTGTTTAAAGGTTTTCCTACTTGTTCCTTGTCATAATCTGTTTGATTGAATCCATATTTTCAATTCAAGTTCAAATTATTGTCAATACATGTTGAATCAATGACTTCCATAAAAATACAGCCACTCCTCACTTTATGTCTGTTCAGTTCCAACAAGCTGGTTGTTAAATGTGAAGTTGTACCTGATTGCTACTTCAGATATGCAACACAAGTAATGAGTTTGTGTCAACCAGCTTCAGATAACTTTAATGTCACTTTTGCATCATTTGTAATATTTCTAATTTATTTCTAAATGTTTATACAGTACAGTAGTGTACTGAAGAGTAAATATAAAAACGTCTTTGAAAATCAGATCCATATTCTGTATATTACTTTGGTTTGCATACCATAAATACAGTACAAGGAAACTTTCACTTCATGGATTCATTTTATTTCATTTTGGGAAAAAAAAAAAAGAAAACAATCAGAATTGAAGTTTTTGTACAATGTACAATACCATCTAGTTGGATCTTTTATTTTTGCTAATGAGAATTTATAGATGATTGTAAGTCCAGGTGGGGTTTGTTAAACAGTGAAGAGTGGCTGTACTAAGGTGATTTGTTTTAACTTTCTTCTATGTATGTATTTTGGCAAATTACTGGTTGTCTTACAGCACATTATGATATATTCAAATACACAAGTCTTACAGTTCATGAGTGTAAGAAGTTAAATCACCATTACAGCTGGCCTTGTGTTGGATTATGGTAACCTGAGTAAAAAGCTATTATTGTTATCAATAATTTCAATATAGTTTTACATGCTTATATTAACCCTTTCAATCCTAATGGGATATAAATATCTGAAGATAATATTTAAATAATATTACCTGTTTATAAATAATTTGTTATATAATAATGCTGTTGGGACATTAAAAAAAGAAAACAACTTGTGTTTTAAAAGTACATTGGATTATGGGTAGATTAAAGACTTCATGACAGTCACTAATATAAAAAATAAGAAAAAAATTGTGCAAAAGTTTGATTAACATGACCATATTATCTGTTTTTGATTGCCACCTGGTGACACTTTTTTTAAATTCCTGTGGATTATTTATTCTTCCTGATGCCAGCATAATTTTCTTTTCTTTTTTAAATATACATATAGATTTTTAGTTTTTACTAAAACTCTTTTAATACGTTTTTTTTTTTTTCTCATTTCAGGGTGCTCAGAAAAGAAAAGAGAAATTTTCAGATGATTTTGACTTGTTAGTTTCAAAATATAAAAAGCAAATGTTATCAGCACGTTCATCATCATAACTAATGTGTGTGAGAGAGAATGAGAGAGATTTATGCTTGCTATAAACTCTAAACCAAATGCTTAAAACACTTCAAGACATTTTTAATACATTGGCCATGTATATTACCAATAACGTCCACCTGTTCATTGCACCTCATCTCAAGTAAAGTATCTCCTTATAAAACAAACTGCTATTTTTCTTACCTGGCATCACATTTTAGACATTTTTTCTTTAATCTTTGACCGATATGTATTTTCAAAATTAAGACATACCACAAAAACATTTTAATATCAGAGAAACCACTTTAAATTTGTTTGCCATAACCCAAAAAGTATTTTTCTCTTCTTAACACCTCCATCCGAGCAACAAACATTTGCATCACTAAATTTTTTTTTTTTTTTTTTTTCCATAATTTGTTACAGTATCTCTGTTTCTTGATCTTCATATTACAATTATTTTTTATAGAGATTTTTATCTTTTTGTATGAAAAAGTTCTGAATTGTACTTCATAGTTTAAAAAAAAAAAGAAACAGCAGTTTAAAATGTGAAATCAGGTATTAAAAAAAATACTTGTAAAATCATTACATCCAAGTCTAAAATTTCTGAATAATAAAGTGAAAAAATGTTTTTGTGTACATATGGACCACTCACTTAATTCTGAGAAAAGCTTGAACAACATTTTCTACCTTTTATAATTAATTAGTCAATATTAATTGCAGGAAATAGAAAATGTTTTAAAATAGTTGATATTAATTTAATGAAAATCATTATCTTTTAAAATTTAGAGAAAGGCTATTGAGGTCAGTTTTGTTTGCCAAAAAGACAACAGAAAAATCCAAAATATCCTCACACACAATACCATATTCTTTTGCAGTGAAAATAAAACATTGCATGAATTATGATATTTGAGTGCATATAGGACTCCCCCCCTACCTCCTATTTAATCATTAATATTAGACAATTATTGTGTTCCAGTAGGCACAAGAATTGTGGTGTCTGGATAAACATTAGCACACCAGTTGAACATTATAAGATCTGCAAATAATTTTTAAAGGTATTTCTGGATAAAAATATGGCAGTAGTCATTCAATAAGCAAGTTCAAATTCCACTTGTGACTTTGTGTGTCACTTTTGCACTAATGTCCTTGGTAAAGGAATGACTAACTCTCCCTGTAATCTGCCCTAGCAACTCTGGTCTTATCACTAACACTTCAGAATAGTAGACAAAAACAAACTGAGACATGAATTCAGTCTAATAGTTACCAATTTCGTGCAAAAGGCAAACTTTATTAAGAAGAAAATTGTCTTTTCCTTTTGCACCGAAATCATAAAGAACAATAAAAGATTAATTGTTTGTAATCAATTCATTGCTTGCCAGTTTTTAATATTATTGTTAAGTCTTTCAACACAATGAAATAATGCCTGGCATTATATAACCATGTAGATGTCAGCATACTGAATTCACTTTGTGCTCAACCAGTATCTTTGCTTAACCAAAAAATCAACAACAAAAAATTAATCTTAAAATTATTGTGGAAGCAAAATATATATTTGGCTACTATTTCACCAAAATTATATCCCTCACCCCCAAATGATATCCCCCACTTGGATGAGTAGCTTTAAAAGCCTCCCTCTAAAAATTAATTTTATCACAATTTCTATTAGTCTCATTTTCAACTACACTGTTAACTTTAATTTGGATCTTTATTATCTTTTTCAACTGACTTTGAAAAGCTAATTCATTATCAAAATGTCTGTCACAATAGATACTTTGAACACTGGTCCAATAAATTATGAATAATGCATTTCTATAGTAAATATTTTTGCAGTGAATTTTGTCTTGAATGTGAAGCCTCAAAATGTGAACTTTTTAAACCAAGAAGCAAATATAATTCTGTCCATTTGTTTAAATTTGCCAGTTAAATCCTTGAAAAGAAAAATGGCTTTGAGTGTTTTCAACATCTTTTTCAACCTCACTATGAAGTGAGAAGGGTACTGATTCTCTTAAAATTCAATTTTCACTTTTACAAACTGAACCTGCACAAAGGATTTTAAATCATTCTGTGCTTGATTAGTCAAATATTTGTACATCTTTGTAAATTATCTGAAATCCATTTTCTATTTTGAATATTTACTTTTTGCTTGATTTTTATCCAGACAAAATTCTTCATGTTTGCTCTTTTATTTTGATTTTTGATCTGTATGTTCTCCAATCATCACAAGGTGTCAGTATTCATAGGAAATTGGTCATAAAGATTTTATAAGAAAAATGATGTTAACCTAAGTATCTCCAAATTAAAGAAAACTGAAAAATATTTTTTTTCTTTAATTTGGCAGAGGGATGCACTGTAGAATCAATGAAATTCAGCAAAATTTCTAGTTAGTGCTTTCTATTCAAATGTTTTAAAATTAAAGGGGATTTTTGGCAGTATCAGGAGGTATCGCAGATATGACAGATTTTTCAAAAAATATTTGAGCTGATGGAAAAATACAAAAATAGTTTGAAATTTTTAATTTTGTAAAATCTTTTGCTTTTATAGAAAGTATTAGAAATTCTGGGAAAATCAGTTTTCATAAAAAAACTGTTAATTAAAATTTAGATATTAACAATAAATGGTAAATTATAAAGTGATATTAAATAATTTTTTATTCAGAAAATACAAATTCTCTGCTGAATTTATAATATAATTTGTATATTGGGTAGCCATTGACGGTAGTCCCCCCACCTTTATTTAGAGACTTAATGATATACCCAAGAAAGTTGATTGCTGTCAACTTATATAAATTCACATATAACTTTTTATATAATATTACCATCTGTAAGCAATTATTCCAGTTTGCCTATATTTTTTTTTTTTTTAAAAAAAAAAAGGAAAATTTAAACTTTTAAAAAATATGAAATAAATTTCAGAAATTGGAAAAAACTTAGCTTTACATGACCCATTTTATTGGAGTTAGTGTGTCATAAAATCATAGTCCTTATCCAAATATATTTGGATGATCTTTGTAATTAAGTTAATCACCCCTTTATAAAAAGAGAGAAAGTAATCTAATCTAATTTTCTTCTCAGGACAGTAATTAAATACACAGAATGTTTACCAGAAAAATTCCAACAGCCACTGCAAGCTTGTAAAATGATCTTATTAAATGAATCCAGAAGTTTTATTTTGGTGCAATTAGATAGAATCCTCACTATCAATCCCCAATGAATGATAATGGTTCCTTTTAATGAACATTATGTGTGGGAGTGAATTTCAAATGACTAAGGGGGTTGTTCAGGTCAATAGCAAAGTGGGTGGGGTCCATCTTTTCTTTCCCCAGTTATGGGGAAAGAAAAGATGGGTTAATATCTTTTCCAAGGACATTAATGCAAAAGTAAATGCAACAGACTTGGCCCCTCCAATCCCCCTTTCTGTGCCAATAACCATTAAGTTACCCTATATTACTTCTACCATGTCACCTAATGCTGATCAGAGAACAGAACAGACAAAATATTGATAAATAATAGACAAAGAAATCTAAGATGAAGTCTGGGAAAATAGCAATGAAAGATCATCTCACAAATACCGAACCAAGCATTTGTCTCTCTTTGTTACCATCTACATAGAAATAGATGACAATGACTGACAAAAGCTTACACCCATTTTAGAATAGAAACCTTTTTTCCTTGAAGTCCTGATGGTGCATAATCTTTGTTTAGGTTGAACAAATGTGTGATGGACATCTTGAAATAGAATTGCTGTGATTTGTATAAAAATGAACTTGAAAACTTTTTGTGTTATTTTGTGTCTTTTATTGTTGTTCTTTCTGATTCTTCTTTGAATGCCTACTTTACTCTTTCTCTCATTGGATGTGCAGGTGGTGTAATGGATAGCGGCTTGGAATGAAAAATTGGAGAGCCAACTTCAAATTCTAATCGTGTTCATTACATTCATTTGCGTGCAAATACCCTTGGGAAAGGTATGAATCTATCTCCTCTCCCTTGCTCTGGGTTAAATAACAGGACTTGTATCTAGAAAAATTGTGATTCTCAAAAAAATTAATGCAATATTCAATCATAAAGAAAAGAATTATTCTTACAATCCAAAATGTTTCTGCTTTAAATAACCTTCAAAGGGTTGATAAGCCATAAATAACAAATTAGTCAATCAGTTTCTCATCCTTATTGTCTTTTTATTTTCCTTTCTGCTGACATTTTTCATTCATTTTCTGTGCCATGTCCTTGTTCCTCTTTTTTTTTCATTTCTCCTCTTCATACATCCTTGCTCCCCTTCCCCTTTCAATCCCAAACACATTTCTCTCTATACTCCTCCTCTGTCATTTCTCATCTGCTCCCTCCCTCCATAACTACCCTCCCTTTTATTCCTTCCAGATTGATTTCTGTCTGTGGTCATAAAAAATTATGGGGAAAAAAACTGCATTGGCCATAGACATAAAAAGGAAGAGGCTGATTGCTGGATGTTAAATCAGCTTTTATTGCTTCCCTCCTAATCTTCATTTTCTTTCTCTCTCATTTACTTTTCTGTCTCCTTTTTACTTAATATCTATTTGCCTTCTATATTATTTTAGGCTTTCTTTCTCCATATTTGTGTTCTTTTTTAAAAAGGAAAGTTTAGATGGGAGGAAATAAACCAGAAAAAAAAAAGGAACTTGTCCAGAAAAAAAAAAACTGTTGCATAACAACCCTACATCATGAATTAAATGTAACACCATCATCATGTGTTTGCTCTGGATATGGCTCAAGTTGTAAAGGAAAGGATTGAAGGCTGAAAAAATAGCACCGACCTTTGTGATGTATAATTTATTTAACCCTAGGTAGGATTTATTCATCCTAGGGATAGGATAGGATACAATGCATTTTATAAAATGGGAAAACAACTCTGGCATGTGGTCAAGGATAAAAATTACCCAGCCATCTTGGCACTTGCCTTATGGCACACAAGTGTCTGGACTTAACCATGACTACTTCTTTAAATGCAATATTGCTAGGTGCCCAATACTTGTAGCCTTGTGCCAAACTAAGCTTAGTAAAAAATAACACTATTCACTGGGTTTAGAACGCTTTGACAAAGGATAACAATTAGTGTGCTATTCTGGTTGATAATTATAACTTCAATAGGGAATTTGAGCCTCAATGTGTGTCCATACGTGCTGTCTTGTACCAAAGACTAAGTGTAGTAAATTATAACAATATTAGCTGGACTTAAAGCACTTCAACTTGAGAAAACAGTGTGCAATCTGATTGAACATTACAGCTGAATTGAGTTTGATCCTCACTGTGTGCCCTATATTTGTAGTTTTTTGTGCCAAAGATAAGTTTGCATGTTGCAATGATTGTTGTAGTCGTGGGGGCAGGGAATTTTTTGTTTTTGGCACTTATGTACATGTATGGTCACCTCCCGTGAAATTGACGTTGTCGTTGTTAATGTCACATCGGGACGTTAGGTAAAAAAATCGTTGTCATTACCGTGGCTGGACGTTAGGTAAAATTAAAAAATACCACATCACACATGAAACAGAACCTGTGGGAATAGGTAAAAATAAATATACCAATATTCACTGGAAGTTTTCCTTAGTCTGGTATATACATTTTTATAAAATAAAGCGGACGTTTTTTTTTTTTTTTTTTTTTTTTTTTTCCTTTCTTAATCTTTAGTTTAAAATGGATTTTCAAAATTCATCTATAAAAATCTTTTCAACAGAGGGGAAAAAATAACATTTTATTTTTAATCAAAAACTATAAATAGTTTTGAAATTACTTTGATGAAAAGAGATTTATGATGCAAACGGTAGTCGGTGGCTTTATTAATTAGACAAGAAGAATAAATTGTTTATAAATAAAAAATGTCTTTGTTGGTCGCTAGTCTAATCAAATGTCACTCATAAAAAATACTCCCTACACAAAGGTGCCCACCCACTTTACCTTTGTGTGGGCGGTTAACTTTAATCACGAGACAATCTGTTGACGAAACACTTGTTTATTTATTTTTAAAAGAATATTTACATTTCACTTTCCCCCGTGTAGAAAGAAGGTTAACATTTTGCCGTGGGACACGATTTAAAAAGTGAATAAAAGTCGCCCACAGTGCCAGGTACCCCCACCCTATGGATTTTACACTCACCTCGCAAAATGACCACGGTGATTTACACGAACAGAACGCTGAAACTGAGCAGCTATTTTACCAAAATGGACAGGTATGTTGTTTGTGGCGTAAATAATTGAAGAAGAAAGTAATGAACGAAAAGAAGGCAAACCTCTCGCTATTGAAATTCAATTCCCAATTATTATTCACCATCATCGCCACTTTTTTTTTTCTACTTTTTTAATGACTCTTCACTTGACTGATCTTTTTATTGTTCCCGCCTCTTTAAAGGCCTACAAAAATAGGTAAATACATTAGTTACCTGTCACTTATTTTTCCCTATTTTATTCACGCGAAATCTGGGCGACACCATGGCTCATATGATAAAGACGATACACAGCTAAAAGAAAAATAAAATAGTTACGTTGTTGTTTGTTTCTGTTTCGAACCCAAGGCTTTTTTGTCGTATGGGTTTTGATTTCGTTTTTGTTTGTTTGCTTTTTTTTTTTATAATGAATGTCTAGTTTTCGGTCAGTTTGAATATTTGTAAAATATACAATAATACCCAGATATTGATTCGTACATAACATACAATAACTGAAAAATAAAATTAATCATTTTCAATGTAAAACAATCTTTGAAATAGGACTTCACTCTAAATAATTAACATTAAACACTTGTTGTACTTTGCAAGTAAGAATTGACTGACTGCAAAAGAATGGTTTTCTTTTCGTTTATTTTAAAATCAATTTCATGACTTTAAAAGATGAAAAGTCTCTTGTAGTTGGATTAGAACCCCAGACATTTTTTTTCTAGCAAATAGGTTCTTTTTTTTTTTTTTTTTTTCCTTAATCTAGCCTTTCGGTTCTTAACAAAGAAAAATATTTCTTCCTGATTTGTAATAAACAGAGAAAATATATTTCTTCCTGATTCGTAATAAACGAAGAAAATTTAAAAAAGAAAGATAAGTAATTGAAGTTTTAAAAAAATTCTTTTTATTTCCTGTAGAAAACGTTATTACCTTTTTATTAAAACTTAAAAGTTATGTGATAAAATACAATATTTTATACCATTATTCTTTGTTTACAAATGTGTTTACAAAAAAAAAAAAATACAATCTTTTTTACACTCCATTTTGGAAATTAAATATTACATAAATTATTCAATAAGAAATCATTTAAATTTTTGTTGCTCTTCCGCCGACATGAAAAATGAGAAAAAAAAAGGCTGATTATTTTATTTGAAATTACTTCTAGAATAATCAGCTTTTTTTTCTCATTTTATATTGAGTTCAGAAACTTAGTATTTTCGAAATTCATCAGTAAATTAAATCTTTCCCTCATTAACTTTCTCTCTTGTTTTTAAAAAAAAAAAAAGGTTTCTTCACCATCTGTGCTTGCTTTGGTTGGACTCTATTGGAGGAAAGGACTGAAATTCTGGAAATAAATCTGTTCAATTCTTTTTATAAGTTTGTTTTTAAAAGTTCACAAAATGCTCCCATTTCACCAGTTTTTCCAAGAAAGCCATTCGCATTTCCAAAACCAAAACTTTTAAATCTATTGTAAAATGTAAATCAATCATAAACTTTTTAAAATGGATCGTAACTCTTCTTAGCTTCTTAAACGGAAGAATTTCCCATTTAGTTTAATTTATTTCCCATTATTTTTAAAAATTTAGCAAAACGTTATCCTCATTTTTTTCTGCTATTCAACATTTTTAGTTTTTTTTCTTCCGCGTTTGACTAATAATTATATTTTCGTCATTTACTTTTTTTGTTAATTGAATACTTGTGACCAATTAAGAAAGAATACGATATGACGAAAAAAATGTTTTTTTTTTAATGAGCGCATCAAAAAATGTAATCAATCTTTGATTTTAACATTTTTTAGATACGAATGCCAAAAATTTAGTAAAAAATAAAGTTCTTAATTAGGTTGATGCTTTTCCTCCAACTTTCAAATGAACTACCCCTGCCAATTTATTAAATTTGTTATCAGTTGTTTCATTTGAACTTTTAAAATTGAGTTTAAAGTTTTTTTTTATTTGTCTTTTTACATTGGAATGGCCATTTTTAGTTTCACTTTGATTAGCGAAAAAAATACTTGATAAGGTTTTCTTATCTTTATTTTATTTTTAAGTAGGGAAATAAACTGCAAATAAAATTTAAAAAAAAAAAAACACTGTTTTAGGTAAAAAAATGTCGAAGAATTCTTTAGTTTGTAAAATAAATTAACAGTTTGACAATTAAGTAAACTGTAAAAAAAAATTAAAAAAATAAAAAAATACCCGGCTCAACATTTTTCTCCGATTATGCTCTGTTAAAAGTGGATATAAAAAAAATAAGCAAATAAAATTCATTTTCCCACAAATTAACATAAAACTGATTTATTTTTCCCCGTTTTTATTATTTCTACTAATTGAATAAAGGAATTTATTTATTTTATTTTTAATATTGTCAAAATGTCATGTTTTCAGTTTTTACAATTCACTGATTCGGACAATAAATTTTAAAAGAAAGAAAGTTATCACAACGTTTCGGCTGTTGCGGACTCCGGCCTTCTTCAAAGTGTCTGTCGATCCAGATAGTCTTTAGGAAATTTCACTTAGCTTAGTAAATAAATCAATAAATGCATGTTTGATTGATTAGAAAGTTAACTTAGTTCTCACCAGAGTCAGAGGTGAGCACTGTTCAACATCACAGAAAAACAAACTATTATTTATTATCTTACTAAAGAAAAATCTTGGGAGGCAGATTTTTCTTTAGTAAGGATTCTTGATCTAGACTGGTTGATATTAATTTCACTGTTTAACAAGGCTGTCAACCCAAACACATGTACCCCTTAAAAATAATGTTTATATAGTAATAAACAATATTCATTCACTTTCTTTTACCTCATTCATCTTTTTCACACTTTGGGATATTACAAAAAGTTTTCATCATTCTCCAAGCTATGCACACTTGGTTGAGAGAATTTCTTTTTCTCTAAATACTTCTATCAAATTTCAATCAGTATTTGAAATTTCTAAAATTGAACTACAACTTTAACATGTTTCACTTGAAATGTCACTATAACCTCCATTCATTTCTTTTGGCATTAAAATATCAATTTGCACTATTTTTTCTTATTACTTTTCCACATGAACAAAATAAAAATTGATTCACTAATTACCACTTCTCTATATTTTAAAAATTGTACCACCATTTCTTTATGACAGCATCGATGATTTGGGACAATTCTCCTCAGCTGCTTTGTGTATATTTCCCATGACCCTTTGTCGCTTTAATTTACTGCCTGTTCATCAAAACCCCACAATCCAGTTCACCAGTAATAAGCTCCCTTATTACCAAAATATACCGCACATCAATCCACTATATATGTCCTGGTAATATTCCAGAATTACCAATTCTTTCACAAGAAACACTTCAAATCAGGACTACCTGGTATGTCCAGTAATCTATTATCGTCAATTCTTCACAACATCACTTAAAACCAATATTTTCATGTCCCAATGTACAGATGTTGTGGTAATCATTATTACCAATTTTTCTCCCTTCTTGAAAGCAACACCACTCATTACAATTTTACAGGCTGACATATTACACCCGACTCTCTTGCTCAAGGAGGTGAATGAAAACATGACCAAGCAGACTGGAACACCCTCTTGACACACCATGAACACTAACCAGACTGGCAGCCAAAAACTTATCAATTAGCAATGAACACTCACCACACTAGCAGGCCTAGAATTTAGCAATGAGAGCCCAGAACTTCACCTTGGTGGTCAGACTGCACCCAGTAATGGATAGTCCATGACTTCCCTCAATCACGTCAACAAATCAAACTGATTTTACCACAGTCTATCAAAGTTTGTAGTCATCTTACAAAGAAGACATGGTCTATCCCAGTGGTGGCATCCTACTAGTTTGCATGAACCAATTCTTCAAATTATAAAAGCTTTGTAAACCAATTGTTGGATTATCCAAAAATTAACCTTAATTATTAGTAGCTGATGGTCTAGGTAAATTGTTAGTTATACTACACTTGTGCGCACACCTAGTGAAAAAAATGTGGCAAATCTTTTAGTCATGAATTTGATGGTACTTCCATTAGATCTTTGGGGCTGCAGCGATTCAGTTCGAATCTGACTAAGAAATCATGTCAAAAAGACATCATATTTCTGAACAGAAATATGATGAAAATAGAATTTCAATCTGGAAATATCTTAAAGGCTTCCTGTTAAATTATCAAAATGGTTTAATTCCTTTTGATGCTATAAAGTGATTTGTTTCCATTCTCAGATTCAAAAACAATGAGCAGAATAGGTTCCTAAAGATTACCTGCCTTTTATAGAACCGGTTCCTGGAAATTTAGGATGCCACCACTGGTCTATCTCCTCATAAATTTACACAAAATCTCAAATGATTGTATTTAATTATATTTACTTTACAAAATAGATAAGTAAATAAAATAAATCCTAATAAATGACACTAAGTTAATATATTCAGTGAGATTTTCTTCAATCTCCAACTGTAAGAACCCTATTTTTCATTCAACACTCACCCAGGGATCACCAAAAAGCATGAGCACTTTCAAGCAAATCACGCACCAACCCCATCTTTCAAAAACCGTCAAAAATCAGGAAACTGTCTGAGCCAAACGAAACCTCACCCTCAGATAATCAGATGTGCACAACCAAATATCTGATGATGCCAAATAAGTAACAAAATAATTAAAAAAAGCAGATGCAAGTGAACAAAACCCAACTATTTTTACAACCAACTTTCTTTTATAGTACTTTTATAGTACTCATGTTGTAGTATAAGAAATAAAATCAATCTTCCCACCAAGTTTCATACATGCCTACAGAAGAGAGAGATTATGTTCATAAAACTACAGCTACACATGGCCAAAGATAATTTACCTTTAAATGCAAATAATACCAGTCTACAGATTCCAGTAGCCTCGTACTTAATTCAACCTTACTTACACCACTTCAAAAGTAGCAAGTGACAGCAGAAGACCTCTGCAGTTGTCCCTGGCTACTGATTGAATATTATTACCAACTATGGGTTTATAGACGCACCATCACCTCTGCTGCCACCAGCTATGT